AAATTTTCCATATTCAGAAAGACGGGAGACGAGGCAATTTTATTTATTTATTATTCATTTATTTAATCAACAGATTCACCTCAACAAGAAAAATCAATTACATATGATCAAGAAAGTATAAGGACAATAACATAACAGCATCGTCAAATGAAATTCAACAATGATAAGAATTGAACTTGTTCTAAACAATAATATTGTTGTTGATATAATTTTCAGTATAGAGCCATCAAGTTAAACAACTTGATTATGCCCCAAGAAAAAAGTCAACGATATTATATGTTGGAAATATTTTTCAAATATTATGGGTATGGGTGGACATATTGAATTGTTCAATCCCAGAAAATTAAAAGAAAGCACTCAAACCTATTGATATTTCACAGAAATAATTCCTTTGAATATCCTTTCAAGAAACTATACCCCCCTGTATATCGATAATATAGCATGACAAAAGGCCCTATGGTGAAAATTTTTGGGTAGGTGCGATAAAATAACAATGATTTCTAGATACATTTATATAATTCAAAAATACGTATTCTGGAATGTCGATATCAATATACACTCTGGTACCTATCACATAATAAACAATATAAAATATAAATATTCACATAAAATTAAAGTCGAAGATCTTTACATACAGTGTCATTCATAAAGTCGGCATCATATGGAAACAACTTTTTTTAATAATTTATTTTGAAATTCGACTTGGGCGTTGAGTTTTGCTCCAGAAAAGATGAAAAATAGCCTACTCGGTCAGTCACGTGACTTTCGCTACATGTCAAAAGTTAAATTTTTTCAAATTTATCGCTTAAATTAATGTTATTTGTTCGAATTTCAAAAAAGTTTACTAGAAAAATTTGTTTCTGTTCAAATTTTACACATGTGTCTCGAATGTAAAAGTTCTATTGCAACTGCTGTTAGCACTTGATATTTTTTTATTTCTTCTAATAATTGTAACTTCGACAAGACGACTGTCCTAAACATTGGTGAGATACGTATAGTAGCTTGATGATATTTTGATAGGTGACCTTGGCATTATTTCAATAGGTACTGGAAAAATCCATTTGAATAAATTTCGCTACTGATGAATACTAGACGATATATCAAATTTGCATCAAACATAACAGAAAATTGAAGCGGGAATTAGTATTTTCTGAAGCAAATCATATTTTTGTCGATCATTAGTGATTGAAAGTTAGTAGCATGAGAATAAAATAGACATTTCGGAGGAAAGGCAAAAATATCAAAAACTGAAAGTTGTTAAGGAACGTTCGAATTCGAGACACATTTATGTAAAATCGGAATAGAAATACTTTTTCTTCGTAAACTTTTTTGAAACTCGAACAAATAATCCTATTTTTAGCGATTAATTTGAAAACATGTAACTTTTGACAAGTAGCCAAAGTCACGTGACCCCAACCGAGTAGTTCATTTTTCGTATTTTTCAAAGCAAAACTCAACGAACAGAACGTATTTCAAAATAAATTATTATTGAAAGTTTTTCCCATAAGATGCCGACTTTATGAATAACACTGTATACCATATGTTACAGAGGGTATAGGCCCACCCGGTAATTTCTGCATTCGTAAATGGATTTTTCTGAAATTTGGTACAGTTCCCATCCAACACTTCGGTGACATGACATCTCTCTGAGATGAGGGTGTCCCATTTGAAAATCAAAAGTTGGGGTCCTTTCCAGTAAAACCGGAAGTGATAGAAGAAAAATTGTTTCGTTAATTAATGATCAATTCGGTATACTAGTTACTAGTAGTTACCCACCAATTTTCAACACCCTATCTTATCAGAGGTCAGTGGTGTATTATCCGCACCATAATTGAGAAAACTTTTCTGTTTTACTGTGATGTCATCTGAAATCACAAACTAAACAAGAGTATCCAGTTTCAGGTAAAAATTATGATATTTTCCTACGACCATCTATGAAAACAGCACAAAACACATTGATTTGTTATTGAGAAAGTGACTCGTTTCACTATGACAACATAATATAACAGTTAGAAAGTTCGAAAGTAAAACACATGGGTGGAAAGATTCGAAAATCGCACAGTAACAGGGTCTATAGATTATGATGTACCAATGAATGATTATTATGCTGAATTATGGTAAGTTAAGTTATGGTCAAGTTAATGGAAAGTTAGTGTCGATTTAACATGAGTTATTGTCGATAATGTTGACGTAATGTTAAGTTGATGAAAAGTTGAAATCAAGTTAATTTCAATTGAAAGTTGAATTAATGTCAATGTATTGGCAATTTAGTGATTAATGTGAAGTTAATGTCAATTTTATATTGAGTTGATGTTGATTTGATTTTAAGGTAATGTCAAGTTAATTTCGAGTTAATGTTGATTTAATGTTGAGTTAATGTTGAATAATTATTGACTTAATGTTAAGTTGATGTTAAGTCAATGTTAGGTTAATTTTAAGTAAATGTTGAGTTGGTCAACCTGCCGAAAATTGCATAGAAAAAACTTGGGGGGAAGATATGCCCCTAGCCCCACTTATTTCCCACGTTCCTGATCAATTGTTTTAGATGTATGACAAACTGACATTTATCATACAGGGCGTGGAAAGAAATTCTGAATTGAGAAAAAAACCCAATCACGAATCTGCGATTGAAGGTCTATAAAAATAACAAGTTTCCATCGTTCAAGTTTGAACCCCTTGATTGGGTATGAAAGTATTGAAAAGGAATATTCTCAGATATATTATAAACATGAAAAAATGGATACATTTGAATAAATACATTGAGAATTCGCATTCTCTATGTGATGAAATTATTAATTCTTTCTCGGCATATTCAACAGAAAACAACTACTTTCCTGGCTATATGCCACGACGAACATTGAATTATATCAATTGAACATACACGATAGGAATTTGAGCATAAAATGAATATCGTCTGAAATTGAGAATTGACATTCTCTTCCAGAATCGGATGAATACTATGATGAATATAACGATATAAAAAATATATTACTTACCAATTTGGTAAGTAATATATTTTTTATATCGTTATATTCATCATAGTATTCATCCGATTCTGGAAGAGAATGTCAATTCTCAATTTCAGACGATATTCATTTTATGCTCAAATTCCTATCGTGTATGTTCAATTGATATAATTCAATGTTCGTCGTGGCATATAGCCAGGAAAGTAGTTGTTTTCTGTTGAATATGCCGAGAAAGAATTAATAATTTCATCACATAGAGAATGCGAATTCTCAATGTATTTATTCAAATGTATCCATTTTTTCATGTTTATAATATATCTGAGAATATTCCTTTTCAATACTTCCTGATCAATATTCCAGAAAATTCCCAACATTTCCGAATCGGATATGAAACGTAATATACAAAATTTAGTTATCTCAACACAAGGGTTTCGGAAATATTTACAAAAAACCATCTTCTCGGGCCCTCTTTCAGATAGCTATAACTCCCCAGGGAGGCATATCTGGGCTCATGTTTACATTCACTTTTTTTACTATTCTTGTTCCTAGAATCTGTGGTTGAAATTTTTCTTTGTAATGTCGGGGCACCCTGTATAACTGTACCAAATTTCAGAAAAAATCCGTTTACGCGAATTCAGAAGTAACACGGGTGGCCCATTACCCTGTTTCACCCGGTATAATGTAGAATCGACAATAGGTATTTTTGTATCTAGTGCGCGAAATGCTACTTTGGTGATTGAGAACTGATTTTTTCTTATATAATAGTCGAGATGACCAAAGTATTCCGCGTACGAGTTGCAAACAAAATTTTTTCTACAAACGTCAAAAAATATAATTCTAAAGTATAGTGATATGCTTAGCTCCATATGAAAAATTGAGTTGAACTGTTCCAAGAACATTATAGGAATTTCTTTTTCAAGAGATAAAACAAAGTTATTGTTAAACATCCAGAGATAATTATTCCCGATTTTTTTTTGATATTCTCTCCTCGTCTCTATAAAATAAAAATATCAATACTATTTCAATATACGTGTAGTGAGGACAAATCAGATGATTTGCCCCAAAATGTCACTGCGTTTGAAGAATTTTCCTATCGAAGAGCCTAAAAGAAAAATTCACTGGCTTGTCAGTGACAATTCATATTGAAAAAGGTCTGGAGAAGAGAAATGAAGGTATATAGAAAAAATATCAAATTGTCACTTATGTTTGGACGTTTCGGGAACGAATCTGCTTCCGTTTTCAACATGTATCACCTCCTCGATTAACCTACAGACAGTATCCAGAGATGAATTATTTCTTGTATGTTTGCCCGACTGAGGATCATAAAGTTTAAATACAAAAATCTCGTATATACTTCGCGAAATGCTTCGCACATGGTGTTATTGTGGTAACGTAGAAAACTGAAAAAAAGTGTAATTTCGCAAATTATTATCAATGCGCGAACCTTGTCATTTTTTGACGTTTGTAGAAAAGAGTATATATTGAGTAAGAAGCGGCAACAACCAAACAATATTTGGATAAAATAAAAAAATAATCCTGCATAACTGGTTTTTTAATACATCTCATTAGATTAGGTACCTACCTAGTAACAACAGTCTCTATAACAATACTTTTCAATAAAGTAGATAGTTTCACATTTCCAAATAATTGACAATATTTCACATGGAAAGGGTCAGATCTTTCGTGCTATTTGTTGGCTGCATAATTACTGTCAAATTGGGTATCATGTGTCGATTGCATTGTCAAATAATTTGAAGAACGAAAGGCCCAAGAATCTGTTCTTGCTCTTATTCTCAATAGTTAACAGTTGAACAATTATCAATCTGATAAAACTACAATAATCTTTTCAGTGGCGTCGATTGATTCTATTCACATTTGACAAGTTTTTAGTCAACCTCGCAATAGGGACCGACTCCCCCTTGAAAATATGGTCAGTTAATTGCAAATGATTACACCACCACACAATTTGATACAGTAATTAGGTACATATATAGGTAATAATTAAGTTAGTCATGATATAATACTGAACAAAACTCATTCACATTTCTTTCTATTCACTAGTACGGGACACCTGTTAACAAAAGACACTTTCAACTTACCGGGATGTTGTTCCCATGGTTCACCGTCTATTTGCATAGGAACCTTGCGTTTCAAACGTAACTGAAAACATACAATGATTCCTAGATTAAAATTGCTATTTTGATCATAGAAATCAAGGAAAATAACTATAGTGATGATCAAGACACGAAACATTCATCATGACATGGCAATCGAATTCATTTTGGTAAAGCTACCATCGATACCTACCGACTGCGCCAAAATTTATAAAATGTCTTTATTCGCAATTTGACTCGCTCATCTGATAATTGATCATGATAAAAACGGTAATGGTATGAATGCATGAATAGGGCAGTGGTGATTACAATCCCAGATCATATTTTGTTTCTGGCTAGCTCAATAAGAGTACTACTCAAACAATCAAAACGTCACGAATTCTATTTAGCAATCAAACGAATATAAATTTGTACTCAATATTTTAAATACAAGTCTATAATAGAAGAATTACCTCTACAACTTTGGCTTGTCCCAACTTGACAGGGCATGACATCCCCACTTGTAGCTGGGCCATATGGAAGGACGAGTAAATACCAACGACTTCCAATATCCCGTCGTGATACGACTGACTCATTCTTGCTGTTCCATCGCCGCTCATTCCTCAATAAAGCACAACAAAAAATTTTACGGAGAGACCTATTATTTTCAAAATCACCAGATGGCGCCACTAGAGCGTGAGGTCTCTATCAAAGTCAAAATTAACTAAGTTTGTCCCTGAAGGCGAAACCACTTCATGCACGACCGGCTGTATAGTGGCACTTTATCGCCTGGATGCGCAGGCGTAAAGTAGCACTTTAGTGCCCTAGAGTGGTAAAGGAGAACAGCGGGCGGTAAAGTAGATGATCGGGCGGTGAAGTGATCTCACTTTTTTTCCACTAATCTGTAGTAAACTACCATTCAATCGCCAAATGAAATTAATTAATTTCTAATTAATAGTGAATACTAGGAAGAAGCCAAATATTCAAAGTGGAATGCAATGGTCACAAAAAGAGAGAAACTCGAAGTCATTACCACAATAGTTCCATAAAATGAACGAAAATGGTAGATAACGAGAGAAAAACAACTACTTTCCGGGCTATATGCCACGCAGAACATTGAATGGGCTGAAAACTTGCATACAGAGTGTTTTCGATGTACTGAACAATATTCTGAAGTCCGTTTCTCTTTATCTCTTTTGGTTCCTCAGATATAAAACTAAAAAAATTTACTGAAATATCGCTCTTCTTTTTGTACAAATTATAATACCACTATCAATCAAACCTTGTTTAAGACTGGCAACAAGCTCACACGAAAGCGAAGGGGAGCGAAGAAACCACACAAAAATCTGTTAGGAACCGTCGTTTCCGACATCGACCAAAGCTTATATGTGTTTGTCGACATATACCGGTGAAGGACCGAATTTATATTAAAACTAATAATTGTTCGGTCTTTCACCAATACATTTGGTGTGTGTCGACATTAACTGGTATATGTGTCAACAATCACTAATTTCGGTCTTTCACGGTAACATATACATGCTGAGATGCGTTTACGTTGGGTCAGGTTCGCACCAGATAGCGGTCAAGAAGCTATCTGGGACAGCCCTGCACTGATGAGAGCCAACAGCTTGAAACTGGTCTGCAGGTAGTCACATGTTTCTGAACCACTTAGCAGCTCGGCGTTTAGGAAGGAAACACTTGCGATTTTATTTGTCGATACGAATTATTGCATAGATTTCGGGAGGATGTAATCCAATGGTCTGCGTGGCATATAGCCAGGAAAGCAGTTGTTTTTCTCTAGTTATCTACTATTTCCGTTCATTTTATGAACTATTGTGGATGACTTTGAATTTCTCTCTTTTCGTGATTGTAAATAAATGTCTAAAACGGCTGAGCATAAAATGTTGTATGTAGTTCGGGCGTAACTCGCTTGGTTCCTCACAAGCTACGGTCCATAAAAGTATATACTCTGCGCCCTTGATACATGAATAACTATTATGGTGGAGAGTATAGGCAGGCATTAGGTTTTCAAACTTGCAATTTTAAACTTGACTCGCACCTTTGACATTAACAGAAAAGTTATTCAAGTTGTACCTATTGTAAACAACTGAAGAAAGCAGAAGAAGAAGGAGTATACCACACGTCTCAGTAGCGCGATCTGGTGGACAATCTAAGCAAATTATATCCTTATGGGTTGTAGGAATTTTGTAGGTATCAGCATTGTCGTTATAAAGGAAAATCTAGTTAGTGAGCTCGAAAAAATGTCTCATGGTTCATTATTTCAAAAATTAACACAAATAAGAAGAACAGGATGCAAAAAGAAGAAACTGGTTGTTTATAGGCAATGATAAGATTCTCGATTCATTGAGTTTATATGAAATTGAGTAGGAACAGTAAACTCATCAGTGCTGTGATAAAACATTACTGTTCGCATTTTATTGCATGCAATTCGTTGTTAAGTCTAAGGATCTCGGTAACCTTAAGAGATACAGAGCAGGTTAAATTGGAACTAAGTTGCACCATGTCATGCTCAACAAAATGCTGCTTCGAAATTGGAAACATTCAAATTATTTCCGGAGATATCCGGAAAAAGAGGAAAATATGCAGCATCGTTTTTATTCATTACTCAGTATATTTGCTATTTGGGGTTGAACAGAGGGTTAAAAATATGCATTTGAAGAAATCTTTTCGATGTTTCATAAAACTACTCTTTACGTAATTGGCAAACTGTTTTCCTGAAACTTTCACCATTTTTGAAATGTGTTTTTACAATAAATAAACGTTATTCGCTTGAATACTTTTCCATATTCTTAAATCGCATGTTATGTACGTGACAACTGTGAAAACAATCACTTTATTAAAAAAATCAAAATCCGTTGCTCTTGTTGGTACACCATTTATGATGAGCCTCAGCTGGTCGGGTTTGTCAGTCACTCATTGTGATTCTTGTAACGTTGGTTACGGCGGGCCATGCATTACAGAGGAGAAATGATCTAATGTTTTTGCAAGAACATGTTTCAATTGTGTTTTCTCACGCACAATTCTTGACTACTGAGAGGTAGGATGATATGGACGCATCCAGAATGAATTGTTTTTCCGAGAACAAGTTGATTTTCATTCAATTCTCCTCCCAACCGAGATTCGGAGGGCGTTCCAGATTTGGGTCACTTTCAAGAGAACTCTAGATCTTTGATAGCCATCTTGAGTCAATTCTGGTATTCAGATCTCTTCATCTGAAGTTTAATCTTCAAAATGAGCCTAAGAATTCCAAAATCGGTTGACGTGGACAAAAGTTATGACTGCAAAACCAAAAAGTTGATTTTTTGAGATCACTCTGTAAATAAGAGAGATAGGAAGTTGATTCGCGAAATATCTCGAGGTAATGAGATCATCTTCATGCCTCTGTTGTCGAAGTTGAGAAAAAAATTGTTTTCACCATTTGAGAGCCTTTTGAATATTCGGAAATTTTGCACAGTGTCGGAAAACATCATGTAGAGATTTTATGTGAACACCCTTATGTTTCAATGAAGTACGAGATTATAGCTGAAGGACTGGACTATCGAACAGTGTAAACCAAATTCAAATTGTTTTAAACTGAAAAAAGTTATTCACATTACAACAGGGGCGACATTTTGGTGTGCGACGAAATTAGTGTTGAGTAGTCTATTTACTGGAAGGAATAAGATATTAAGGGTGGGAAGTTTTCTAATTGATACGGCATTTTTCGGAAACTGCTCAACAGAAAATGATAAATGGAAAGAGAATTGAGCGCCCGTCAAAATGATGTGCCACTTGACCCCCCTTCCTATTTGAGATTCTAAGGGTAACATCTACCTCTCCTGGGGAGTTGAACAAAGAGGGCAAAAAATATTCATTATAAGTGTCCCCCTTGCAAATAAAATTCTCGATTTCTCATATTATTTACTGAAAGGAAGATATTGAGGATGGGAAATTTTCGAAATGTCACCCTGTATTGCAAATTTCTGATCTCACCCCAAAGGTTGACGCCTGCGCCCCAAGAAGAGATGTTCAACACGACGATGGATTCGAGTTCTGGGAGCTCGATGAGTTTGCCGTCGAGGTATAGGTCGACGCGTTGCTCTAAATTCTTGCAGTCTGACGTCACCACTTGATGGGTACCGAAGCACAAGTACAGCAACTGTTTAGAGAAAAATAAGACGGTAGAATTTGTACAGTACATGCTCTTGATTGAATAAAAAACATATGTAGGTCAAACTAGAAGAACCATTGAGAATAGGTTTGAAGAACATATCGCACATATGAAGTGTGGCAGATTGAATGAAAGTGGTGTAACACAGCTTATACTCATAAAACATACATCACACATGATCAGATCATCTGAATGAGACACCTTGTGTAACAGAAAAACCCATAGACCTATTATTAGGTCTATGGAAAAACCAGATGTGAATGAAATGTTTCAAGGAAATTTCCTCATTTTAAAAAAAAGGTACCATTGCTAATGTATTCACAATTACACCACCTAGCTTTTTTGGAATGAGGCGTCGAAGTAGATTATTTTATTAAAAGCTTTTGTACGTTTTGTATGTTTGTATGTATGTATGTATGTATGTTCGGGTGGAATCTTTGAACTCAATTTTGAAGTAGAAATCTTCAACCGATTGAGCTGAAATAAGGTGTGTCACGTTATTCTAAATCCAATATGGCGGACTATCCAAGATAGCGGAATAGCTACTTTTGATATACTTTTACAATATGGGTATCAAATGAAAAGGCTCGTTGAGAGTAACTCGAAAAATGATGTGACGTCATTCTAAATCGAATATGGCGGACCATCCAAGATGGCGGAATGGTCATTTTTAATATATTTCTACAATATGGGTATCAAATGGAAGGGCTCGTTGAGAGTAATTCGAAAAATGATATGACGTTATTCTAAATCCAAAATGGCGGACCAACCAAGATGGCGAAATAGCTATTTTTAATATACTTCTACAATATGGGTATCAAATGAAAAGGCTCGTTGAGAGTAACTCGAAAAATGATGAGACGTCATTCTAAATCGAATATGGCGGACCATCCAAGATGGCGGAATGGTCATTTTTAATCTACTCCTACAATATGGGTATCAAATGAAAGGGCTCGTTGAGAGTAATTCGAAAAATTATGTGACGTTATTCTAAATCCAATATGGCGGACCAACCAAGATGGCGAAATAGCTATTTTTAATATACTTCTACAATATGGGTATCAAATGAAGAGGCTCGTTGAGAGTAACTCGAAAAATGATGTGACGTCATTCTAAATCCATTATGCTGGACCATCCAAGATGGCGGAATGGTCATTTTCAATATACTTCTACAATATGGGTATCAAATGAAAAGGCTCGTTGATAGTAAATCGAAAAATCCAGCTAGCGATAACTAAAAATAAAAAATAAATTAAAAGTAAAAAAAACTTTTCAATAAAAAGCTTTTATTTAAACGCTCTAAAGAGAAGAAAATAAAATATTTCTTAATAATCTAATTATCAACTCATAACCTCATTATAACAATGTACATACCTATATGATCATAAAAGCTTGTCCCGATAATCAATATTTAATTAAATTGTAATTTTAAAAATTTCCTCTCAGCAGATTTTACATAATTAAATAAGTACTTGTTCATTCCCACAAGTAAATTGTGTATAATGAGGTTATAAGTTGATAATTAAAATTCTCGTTAAAATTATTGAGAGAAATTTTATTATCTTCTTTTTAGAGCGTTTAAATAAAAGCTTTTTATTAAAAAGTTTTTTTTTTTACTTTTAATTTATTTATAACTCATGTATCAAATGAGAAAATTATTTCAAATTCGGTGCAATGCTTCAAAGTAATGAGACATGTTTTGAGTACGGATATAGTTAACAGATCTGGTTGAAAGAAAAAAATGTATTTTGAAGTACCCCTATCTATGAAATTTTCAGAATATTCAAAAAAAGAACTGATCATTTTATTTTTGTGGGCTTATCATCAGTTCGAGAATGGAATGATGATTACTTCGTCACACAATTTTTTCATAAGTTTTCTTATGAAGATTTCAGTTATTCAGTTTGTTGTTCATTCTCGATGAATCGTCAATAATTGCATTATCAATGATGATTAAATATTCATGATTCAATATTTTCAACATACTTTATTGAAAACTCGGCTTCCATAAATATAGAAGATGCTATCTCTTGTTTTATGGAAATTCAATGCTACTTGGGCATCCACTCCAATGCTGATGTAATTATACATAAAATGAGTTTTACTGGGTAACTTCAATCCTAAATGTCTAGTTGAAACTATTTCTACTTTCCACCTGAAATAAAACGCAATATTTCAATTTGATTTCTTTCAAATATTCCGATAATAGGTAAAAATAAGAGTTTTAGTGAAAATACTCCTCTTTTCTTGAAAAAGGTTAATAATACCTCTCTTGATACAATGATGCTCTAGTCAGTTTTTTTTTAATTGACGTTACTTGATGGAAATCCATGGCAAATGTAAAAACTTCACAAACGATAAGATTTCCACAAAATTCTTGAACGCACAACATGTTTTCGGATCATCAGCTGAAAAATTAGCTTCATTTCTACATAAATAGGACTTTAGAGTAGCGTATAGAACAAATAACACGTTGGGGAGGTTTATCAAAAATAATAAAGACAAAACTTCTAAATTCGAAAAATCAGGGGTATACAAACTCAACTGTGGATCTTGTCCTAAGGTATATATCGGTCAAACAGGTCGTACGTTTAATCAGCGCATTCATGAACATAAGATGAATTTTATGAAAAAGAAAACAAATTCAACATACGCCAACCATATATTAGAAGAAAACCATAGTTTTGATGATAATTTCGAAATTTTACATGTAGAAGATAAAGGAATGAAACTCAATCATTTTGAATCATTAGAAATCGACAAACTAAAAAAATTTGACATTTTACTTAACAATCAATTAGACCTCAATAGTTCACCACTGTTGAATTTGTTTTCTAAGTAGGTAATGATATGTATATGCTATCAACCCTTTCAAGTTGATCCGGTATACCGTAATTTAAAATAGATATTGTGCCTAATTTCCGAAAATGGAGGTTTATCGATCCTGTCCACAGATAATTAATCCTTCAAGTTGGGAAAGTAGGATATATAAAAGTTAAGCAAGCCAACGTTGGTTTAGTTCATTGTACCAGTATATCACCTGACGAAGCTACTGTGTTAGCGAAACATGTTGTGTGTTTAAAAATTTTGTGGCAATCTTATCGTTTTTGAAGTTTTTACATTTGCTCTAGTCAGTGTTGATGTAGCAAATTTATTCACAAATGTTTCTTTAGATAAAACTATAAAAATTGTGAAATGTGAATTGGAAATTGAAGAAACTGTCTCAGAGAAAACCAAACTGAGTATCAACGGAATTTTGAAATTTTTGGAATTTTGTCTAAAACAACATATTCCCAATTGGATAATGAGTTTCATCATCAGAGGTTTGAAAAGCTATTTACTCAGATGAAATTAAGGATACCCAAACCAGCAAAATATTCAGAAATGCAGTATTAAATATACTGCATATTTACTGTTGCCTACCTATCCAGTTCTGATAGTCTTGCATCTTGTACATTTTCCAAAATGTTGTCTACCTGCAAATCTGAGGAATTTTCTTTTCCCCATCCCAATACTCTGGACAAATCATTGCCAGTTCCAAGTGGAATTATAGCTAACGGAGGTTCAGGCTAGAATCATTCAGAGAAATTATTACCGATTATGATTAAATTCATCAAAAAAATGCTGAGTATAACGGATAAATAGAAAAATACAGTTCACAACACGCATATGAAACCGATGGAAAGAGCTTTTTAACTTGGACCGAATAAACATGAACAAACTAACCTAATCTAGCATGATTAAACTGGTTCTCATAATTTCACCCATTTTGGACATCCTGTATTTTTATTTGAAACAATGAGATAATCAGAACATTAAATCACACAGATGGTGAAAATATACACTACGGTCTATTTTTGCAATACATTTATCTCGTGACAATTTCGGTATTTGTCCAAATTTCGCAATAGGAAGGGATTCGATGACAAACTCCGAAAACTCTGATAAATAGACCGAAAAGTATTGTTTTCATGTACAGTCGTAATCAAAAAAAAGCGTACATGTATATTACAGAGAGAAATTAATGTCATTCTATTAGCGTAAAACGGGCTATTGGGATTGATTGTTCACCAAATGTTGACAGTAAAGTTGTCAAAATTACATAGTCTTGGCTGAGCACAGTTTTACACAACTAGAAATAGAATGACAAAAACCTCTCTTTTTAAAACTTGTACGCTTTTTTACTGAATACGAGTTGAATCGTTACCACCGATTCAACAAGGCCAGCAGACTCTGACGTAAACAGCTCGTGACGTCACCAAGAGAGGCCAGTGTTTTATTTTATCGCTAAGTGTTGTGTTCCCTTTTGTCGGGGGAATTATGTGGGTGGTTCAAAAGTGCATGCTTTTAGTTTCCCGTTGGACGAGGAGCTATCGAAAATGTGGGTATATGCAATTCACCGCGAGGATTTTATAATGATGAATTAATAATAGAAGACAATTACTCTCTCATAAAAAGTATAAGTAGAGGAAAAATAGAAAAGCTTTGATTGTGCAGTTAGTTTTGTATTCGTATATTATAGTCAACAAAATCATCTCTGAATTCGAGGAAATTTTCTTGAATGTTCATAATAAACGGGCATTTTATTTCTCATTCTCAAATTTCTTTCTGAAAACGGTCATTTGCCTCGTGGCAATGAATGCAGAATTCATTCCAATGATCAAATTGCAACTATCATATTAACATGAACTACAAACACTCTACTTAAAAAGGTTAAACTGCATTTATCATGATATTTATCATGAAGATATTTGACTAAAAGTTCCAAATTTCACCTTCTTTTTCACCTGTCTTCTGGATGGCATTTAGAACAAATGCCGCTTCTTTTTTCATCATATTGGACATTTTATATAAAATTCAACTATAAATATGATTTTCTTGAGATTAATCCATATTTAGTGAAAAGAAGGAAGAATATCATTCAAAATAATGGCGTGTGTAATGTCATTCGAAAGCAATCTATTGACATTTGACATCTCGTATTTTGATTGACTATTGATTAAATGGTCGTCATCTGGAATGCTTGTTCACTAAATATGAAAAACATCAAAATCATATTTCCTGTTGAATTTTCTATATAAAAATGTGCCATCGAAGTACATCATGAGTATATAAAGTGTCCAATGACAGAATAAGAGCAAGTAGCATCAAATGCCCCCAACACAAGGGGAGAAAGAAGGCGAAATTTCGAACTTTTTCTTGAAATATTTCAATAAATAGTGGTTTGTTCACATTTTCATTATAAAATTCGGTTTATCAGACAAAAATACGTGAGTACCGACAAAAATTTTCAAAAAAAAACCATCGCATGATAAATGCAGTTTTACCCTTAAAAATTACGGTTTTAAGTGTAACTATCCAAACGGCATGTCAATCAAAATAAAATACATTTTCCACAATTTTCTTTCGATCAATTTCACGATAAGTTTATGTTCTGCGGGCCCTGTATAAGTAGGTGTGAAGTTTACCTTCACCACAATTTTTGCCAATATATTCAATTTGAATGGGTTGCTGTAGGTGGATATTTGTGTTTTATCCTGGTTTTTGCATTAAAACTTCGTTTTTCCATAATAAAATCGAATGGGGTGCGAAGAAGGGCTCAGTTGACGACTGGCATCCTTTTTTAACCGGAAGCCCTTCAAAAAACAGCAAAATCGGCTCAATGATGATCTAAAACTGAAATCAAAATACGTGGTCGCCTTATAGCGCTATAAGCGCTTGTCGTTTCGAGCAGCTGGTTAGGCCTCATCCCACGTAGCATGCAGGCCTTGTTGTATCGGTGGTAACGCTTGAATACGTACTTAAAGGCCACAAATGTCCAAGTCATGTTCCTAAACTTCAATATTCCTGGGCCCTGATTTCCACTCTTTTGTCTCAAAATATCAGAGAAATGCATAAGATTCAATTGATTTGATGAAAATGAAGAATTATCATAAACATAGTGGTTGTATCATTCCAACCGTCCCAACTCAAATTTGCGAGGAATAGGTAATAATGACCTTGTAACTTTTATAAGAAAAACAATGAATGCAAACATTTCCAAATGATTGAAGTTTCTCTTTTTCCACCAGATTGAGCTACTGAGACGTGAATACTCTATGGTTTTTTTTGGCGCGAGTAACAAAACAAACTTGAAAGCTGGCGCTGCAAACGTTACAGATGGCAAAAAATATTCCTGTCAAGATCAGCTTGAACATTCTAGCTTGGTCCCTGAGATGCGCAAACAATAAACAGAGATAGTTAGTGTGAGACAAAGATGCACGAGTACAATCGTACTGTACTGTTCTACCATTAGGCCGTGGTCCCACCATGTACTCACGGCGTCGGGGTGGGGGTAGCCCCAGGTGACTCCCTGGTTAAAAGCTTGAGGTCCCCACTCTCGTCATGGTAGCGGTACGTGTGAAAGGCCGCGAACGGTCACCCATCAAACGGGACTGGAGGAGTCCGGTCAACATGGGTAGCTGGGCTTGCTCAGCGAAAACTGGAACTCTGGTGTACCTTGTGCCTTAGCTCGTCAGGGAGGGGACAGCCCCAAGCGATCCTACCGCCAGTCATCAAAAGCCGGGTCCTCTCCTGTAAACGAGGTAGAGGAACGAGGAACGTGTGAAAGTCCTCGAACGATCACTCATTCAACGGGACGAGAGGATTCTTGTCAACATGAGTAGCAATCAGGCCAAAGCCTCTTGCGACGGCGACCCATCAAACGTAACAAGAGGAATCTTGTTGACATGGGTACCTGGGGTGATGAGGATATAGCCCCATCAGGCCGTACATACGGCCTGGTGCCTCACCAATTGGGTTGGACTCCAGGGGGCAGCGGTTTCCAAAAAACACCACCGAACTACGGTAGAGGAGGTGAAGAAGAATCCCGCTATGGGTCAAGTGGGAGGATATCTTGCCTGCCTCGGCGGGTGAGCAGCGTTTCTGCTCGGGTACTGACACTGCAGAGCCAGTAGTCTGTCTTATCAGACGCCGTCACCGTTGGTATAATAAAATGGTAGCAGGAGAACATGCGTGTTACATAACGGAGATGGCTCTAGCACGCTGATTTGGCGTATACAAATCCTCTATTTCTCTGTGGGGGTACTGTCGGTATAGTCGAAAGATAGAGGCCGGCAGTCATCCCTATGGGAGTCTTGTGAGAGAGGGGTGGGAATTGGTTCCAACCGATGGCTACCCCGGCAATACAGATTATTATTATTATTTTTGTACTGTTCTACCAATTCCTCGACAATAATGAGCTTACTGCGCATCCAATTTTCCGAGGCCAAGCTAGAGTGGTCAAGCTGTTATATTCCTGCCTTTATATTTTATATTGAATTACAAACAATCAAATGTAACATCGATATAACCAATATCTAATATAATTACGTCAAGATCCAATTTGTGGGAAGTCGTTAATATCCAAGATATTGTGCCATCACCTCCAGCTACTAATATCTTAACTACTTTAGGCGCTAGTAGAACACACCATTGTAGGGCAGCAGGTGGTTTTCTCTCTGTCAAATCTATGACTTGAACCGGATTGAGGTATCTTCTGAATTCTGACAGAACCAAGGCTCCATCGCTATTGCCGGATTTTTTGTTTGCTGATGAAAAATATTTCTATAGTGCGGTCATAAATTCTACCCCTTCTCCCCAATAAAAATGTTAATTGAATACTAGTGTATAACTTATTTAGAATGAATTGTATCAAATCCAATCAAATCGGTAGAAATTTAAAAAAAACATTGAAGCATTTGAGATACTGCATGAGCTGGTTTATATTTCTAACTACATTTTTGTTCATCTTTCCTTTAGGATTCATAAAAGGAGTACTAATTACGTCCGTACTGTATACCAGGTGTTCCAGAGGAGTAGCTATCACCACTGTAGTAATGAGCAAAATGAAACAGATATGAGATGACATTGATATATCAATACAAGGTGATTAACTGAAACCTACCATAGACTTCTGGAGTTACCTATGAGTGGATATGTATCTGAGATAGTCTAGCTATAATTCCAAAGTAACAATCTTTCTGTTGTGAATTTTTATTTTCATCTCATGAAGAATTTCATGTGTAACTTCAATCAATGTTATTTATTTCACTAAGTACCATAAGCAGAGCAATCATGAAATCATGAAACATAAAATGCAACAAAATTATTACATTTTTTACTCCCTTTACAATCCAGCTTTGCCTCAAAATTTATAGAACTTGCCAAAGACCTTGTATAACAATGAAAAATATTAAAAACTGGATATTAGACGCTTTATGGAACTATTTTACTGTTCTGAATAGCATGTAAAAAGAATATCTAAAGAACACAAATAACTTTGAAACAGTATTACATTATATTATATTTATCGAGATATTTATCAGCATTTGAATTTTAAATAATATAAATTATATATTTAGGTACAAAAATTACTTTTGTCTAAGACTAATCAATTGATTTACTCATATCAATCATAATTTTATTTGAACTTCCTACAAGTTTTACTTTATCTTAGTTTATTCAATACTATGAAGGTATTTACAGTTTTAATTTATTTTTTGTAAACATTCTTCAATCAAAATTTTCATCATTATTATGATCAGGGAAAGCTCACCAATAACAATCAAGGGGGCCCAATGTTCCCAGCCAGGGTCCTTGACCCCCCTAAGAAGTAGGTGTTTGTGCAGGGCTCCTTTACGTCTTGCTACTTGGATACACCATGGAGGAACTATCATATTTCTGTATGGTCCAAAATCACAAATCTACATGGAAGAAAATATGAGTTTGAAATTGACTGACCTTCCTCTCAATAACTTGTCAGTGAAATGTTTACCTGATCAATTTCAGGAAGGCATTCAGTATGAACAGTCCTTTGACACCAGCAACACTGGTGATCAATTAAACCAGGTTCCACTGAACATTCTTCCTCACACTTAGTGCAAACTGCTCCAAAGGGCAAATTGCCTAAATGAAAAAAAAAATAGGTAGTAGGTACCTAAATTCAGGCTCAATCAGAGCAGGTCTTATGTAAGTAGTAAAAGGATCATAGAGAAGAATAAATCTTCCTATGAATACAAAAAATTATATATGAGCTGTTATTCTCAAACCAAAGATTGGTACTTGTAGAGGTAGGTATTAATGTGCAGTTTGAAAGAAACTTTTTCTCTCTTCAGAATGGACTAGACCTTTCAAGTTATTCAATTGTATATCAATGAGTACCATACATAGGACCAATACAATACAATTGATGTAAATTATTAGATCCAATAATATTCATGGTAAAACTGCATTTAGCATGCGATGGGTTTTTTTTCGAAAATTTTTTTTGGTACTTACGTATTTTTGTCTGAAAAACACGAATTTGATAATGAAAATGTGAACAAACCACTATTTATCGAGATATTTCAAAAAAAAGTTCGAAATTTCGACTCCTTTTTCCCCTTGCGTTGGATGCATTTTCAGGTACTTGCTCTTCTTATTTTGTCATTGGACACTTTATATACTCATGATGTACTTCAATGACACATTTTTATACAGAAAATTCAACAGGAAATATGATTTTTATGGTGAGTTTTTCCTATTTAGTGACCAAGCATACCAGATGACGGCCATTTTATCCATAGGCAATCCAAATACGAGATGTCAAATGTCAATAGATTGCTTTGGAATGACATTACACACGCCATTATTTCAAATGATATTCTTCCTTCTTTTCAATAAATATGGATAAATCACAAGAAAATCATATTTCTAGTTGACTCAATAATAGAAAAAAAAATGTGTCTTACATTGTGATATATATAAATTGTCCAATGATGAAAAAAGAAGGGTGAATTGTTTGAAATTCAATCCAGAAGACAGGCGGAAAAGAAGGTGAAATTTGAAACTTTATAGTGAAATATCTTGATAAATAATGGTTTGTTCACATTTTCATTATCAAATTCGTGTTTTTCAGGCAAAAATACATAAGTACCAAAAAAAATTTTCGAAAAAAAACCCATCGCATGCTAAATGCAGTTTTACCATATTCATTACATACCTTTGACCCAGTGATGTTGCTGGTTTTCATTACTGCTGGTTATGATTTTACATTTCAATTTCAAATTAGCTTTCTTAACACATTCTGGATCTGCACATACTCCACAACAATCACAGTAAACTCCTATACCATTCATGAGCAGTAATTCGCAAATTGAACAGTACCAGGGCTGAAATTTTTACAATTTTCAAGTAAAGAGCACTATTACAAAATGAATTCCTCTTACTTTAGATGTTATTTTTATTGCAGTCCAGCTATGATTTTTAGATGAATCTCTTACTGGAACATTTCTATCTCCACTTAGTTTTTTGAAAATGTAGAAAGTAATAACACAAACAACCAATGCACTAACAAAACTGGTGAAACCAAAAGGTGGAACCAGATCTCCAAGTATCCACATCTTGTGTTCAGAGGAAACTGAGAGTTTACTGAAAACAACCATTTCATTAGAATTTATACAAATGAGAAAATTATTGAATGGGCACTTTCAATCCAATCTTCAATTTTAATCCATGCACGTTCACGTTTCTAGTGTGATCTTGAAAATTACATTGTTGAAATCGAATATATGAAGGTGTAGTCGATTTCTGACTATATTTTATTACTTTCATTATTCAATTCCAATTTCCGAATCCAAATGTTTTGATTACTTTTCTCAATATTTTGATTATTTTGTTTACATTTTTGACACAGAACTCAGAGTAACAGAAAAAGAAAAAGCAGGAAAGCACAAAACATAAAATCTATTTCTACCCTACACTCACTCTACACCGATTGCACTGGATTCAAAAAAATCGAGCAGCAAGCACTGGCCGACCAGAAAATAGCCTTGACCAGAAATAACCAAGGTTACAACAAGAACACAGTGTGAACCCGGTAAACCAAGGTGAGAAAGATTGGACTTGGAATAGTTGGAGTTGGCCCTAGACCCTAGACCTCGAAACTACTGTTTGCTGGTGCAATGCAAAAAAGTGGAAATCAGAGTAGCACTGGTTGTTTCGTCCTCTAGGTGTTTTATGGTCAGAGAATACAAAAATTGTCAAAGTAATACTTCAACTTCAAACTTCAACCTTCAAATCGACTTCAACTTCAACTGAACAAAGTCGATAATACGAAATACGATAATGCAAAACACTGCAAGTGGTACCATTGATTTAAGGGGTAGTGAATTTGTAATTTTTTTGTCATTTGGAATTTGGATTGATGAATTGAATCATGAAATGGATTAATTTTATTTAAATTCGAACTAATACAAGTGATAATAAGAATCTGTGTTATATTATGATGATTGGTATGTGCTGAAGTATCTGATTCTCTACAGAAAGATTTTTTGAAAACTCGGCAAAATGGCAGATGAAATAAACAATCAGTCCAGTCAAGGTATCATCATTTTTTATTTCATTAAGAATAGCAGGTAACAATGGTTTTGCAGGTACTCGACGACCCGTTATAAAAGCAATTGATCTTTCACAACCCAGCAACTCTGCTCCTTTTGCTTTTCGTCCATTATCTTCATTATCAGATAAAGTAGGGACTGCTACATCCCCTAATCGTCCAAAAATGAGTTTACCAACTCTTTCAAAAACCAAAGAGCCTCCACTAGTGATTCGGTAAGATATCATTCAAGATTTACTATTTCTTTATCATGAAATGAAAATCAGAGGTTAATTTTTGTTCATGTACATGTTATCATGTCACAGTTATGCATTATTTGATAAATGAATAATTTGCAATTATATCATGTTTGTTTTAACAGAATTCTGCAATCAAAAACAGGTTCTTAATAAGTATAATGTCCTCAGATTTTCATAGCTCTTATCATTGCTTTATGATGTTTGGATAAGAATTATTTATCCTCATGTTTTTAATATTCACAGTTCTCATTCATCCAGTAGATCCAAGTCAAGGTAAAAACAGAGTGTGCTTTTTCCAGTTTTGCATGTTTTGTAATTAATTTTCATACACTCACTATAGGTACACTGCACCAAATGGACCAGATAAGATAACAAAACACAATTGATTCTTATTCAATATCTACAATCATTTTTTGTTACTTCATCAACATCACATCATGATATACCTAAATAAACAGTCATTAAGTTGAAATAAATGAGAATAATACCTTCCTTTTTTATGACAACTTATCAAGTATGAATAGTTTATAGGGTCAATTACAAATTAGCCTTCTTAATTTTTCTGGGTTTTGTTTTTTATTTCCATACTATTCAATATTTATCATTGACTTCTTCCAGATATGGTCAATGAGTTTTAGTGGTTTTTAGTAAAATTGTGGTATTTCATCATTCAAGAGTATTTTTCATTACAACAAAAATTGGTGATTTATGCAATATTATGTTATTGTTGAGTCTTCAATATGAAGCAAAGTCATCATATTATTATAATGACTTATATTTCAAGTGACCTCAAAGTGATTTTATACCTATGCAGTAATTAGCAAAAAATAAGTTATGTGTATGAGCTACTTTCTGTCTTATCACAGATGGTCTTATGATATTCTCTTTAGTATTTTCACAAGTTTTGCATTGCATTGCTCTCTTCACATTCCATGTTTGTACCAAGTTCAATAGAGTGGTTGTTTGGATTTATCCTCCTAAAATATTCCTATCTTGATTCCTATAATTCATCTGGAATTCATATGTATATTTGTCATTTAATGAAAGTGTGTTTTGATTGTTCTTTTTGTTTTTATTTTTAGTATTATAGTAAATTATTTAGAGAGAAAGGTGTTTAGATTACTAGTTTAAGTCAAACTTAATGTCATTATGAGGGTTTATAATGTGTATAAAAATATAAAAATAATAATATTTGCCTTGATTTTAGCCAAATCACAATGTTCAATGAACAAATGTCTGCACTGAATACATTTTCTTTCAATAGTCATTATAATCATCAATTTTCAATGTTGACATGAAATGATTTTATAATAGGAATAAAAGATGTCATCTCTTTGTTGAATCGTACATTTATGCTGAATTATTATACAGGGTTACTGGTAATTCAGGTAATTCAATACATTCCTCTAAGGGAGGTGGAAGGAATGAATTCAACCCTAATATGCATTATGCAAAAGTTGATAGTTTTTGATATTGAAATTCTTCCCAAATGGTAAACTTTAAGGGTTCAAAAGTTGGTTTCCTGATAATCTGGTGTACATTTTTTCAGCTTCTCAACTAGAATACATGATCACCACTTTGGTCTTAAGTTTGGAATGAAAAAAATCCAGAAATAATTTATATCAGAATTATTGTTAATACAAAGTTGTCTTTTTGCTTGTGAATTGTCGATTAACACCTTCTAGGTGCTTATTTTTAACAAAATCTCTAAGCCACATTTATGAAAAAATTGTTTAAACTTCCTAAAGGCTATAGCTATCTAACATGGAACTAAAAGTGTTTGATATGGGTTGGATTTTCAATTGAAATTGCTGTATCGCCAAAAATAAATAATTTTTTGTTATTTACTATACATTTAAAATAACAAACCCATATCAAGCAATTTTAGTTTCATTTGTAGGGATTTGTACCCATCACAGTTTGATAGCTGGAAGTTTTAACAAAATTTCAACAAATGTGGCTTAAAGATTTTTTTTTTTCAAAAACCTTGAGAACGTGTAAAATCCACAATTCACAAAGAAAAATACGACTTTGTATTTACAATTTATCTATGATCTAAATTATTTCTGGAATTTTTCCATTCCAAACATAAGACCATAGTGTGGATCATGATCATGTAAGGTTGCAAGGTTGAAACAATGTACAGCACATTTTTGGGCAACTAACTTTTAAATCCTTGAAGTCTACCTATTGGATAAAAAAAGAAAAATTTTAATATTTCAAAAACTATTAACTTTTGCATAATGCATATCAGGGTTAAATTCACTCTTTACCACCTCCCCTATCACATCTCCAAAGGAATGTATGGAATATTTTACCTTTTCCGTCGACTTGGTATTACCAAGTTTGATTATGTACACGAAATTGATCTTTAATGACCCCCTATCAACGACCATTTTTCTTTCAACGAACGAATGTGATATAGGCAACCAAACATACACCACGTCGTTTCACTGTTGGGAATATTACTCACGGAATCTACATTTTAAATATATTACGTTAACGGGTTAGCTTTTCAACGTCTCTGGACCGATTTTAATCCCTGTTTTCTAACACAAATAATTATTTAATATACAAGGAAAACAGTAGTAGTTTGTTTCTGTGACAGGAAAGAGGACGAATCAATATTGAGAAGATATTACATTATATTAAAATCAGAAAATTATCGACGTGAATCTTAACAGGAGTTACACATGCGTTGCAGGCATCTTTATCATTCTTTTGAAGTAGTCAAATATCTGTCAGTCTAATGGGCGTGTACACCTTAGTAGAACTTTTAACTCAAACCATGTTTATAATGATCCTTTTATACATAAATAATGATTGACGACATAATTCGATCGAAAAATTAACTGGAATGTTTTATTTTTGGACATAAATAATATTACCTTCTGAAAACGGACCCTCTTATGACGTAGAAACCTCTTCTCGCTATAGTTGAAAGAAAATACCAAACGCCCGACGGAGACTGAGGCAACTGATATATTAATTCTTTCAACTGTGATCTCGCGCTAATTCACTCTGTCAGAAATCATGTATCATTCATCTCGGTCTGGAATAGTCTTGTTTCAGTATTAGGGTTTTGACGTCACATCATCGCCTCGTCAGAGGTCTGAAAAATCGGGGATTTCAATAATTTTTTATAAAACGTAGGGAGCTCACAGCAAGAAACGGTTTGCGGTGGTAAGCTAGTTTGGGTGAGTTCTATCGAATTATGATTTTTTTTTTGTGATATAAGCCCATTCTTTGATTTGATTTTGAAAAATTGCAATTCTTTCTCGGAGGCGATGTTATTGGCTTATTTTTCGAAACTAGCACAACAAAAGCCATCATATGTAGCAGAATACTATAGAACATACGGTCTATCGATAGAATAAATGAACATCCTGTCCAGATTTCCAGATTGTTGTCATAGTAGACGTTATTTACGGCTACATGTAATTGTTTTCAAAAATCATATTCTCTTTCATAAGATATATTTAACAGCCTAGTGGTGTGATTGATATACGGATTCGTACGATACTATCTGCGTAACGCAATTGGACCTGGTGTTAGGTAAGTTACTCATTCAAGTTTATTGTAGTCAGCATCATGTTAAGATGATCTCTATTTTAGATTGTCAAATTTAGGAAGAATATAGATATATACTCATTGGTAGTGTTCTCTGTACTGAACTTCATTGTGCAAACCCATATTCGTTACATCTGGCGCCCAACGTGTTATTAGAAGTTCAGAGAACATGGAAGAACATGCAGTAGAGGAAGGTGACAGGAATTGTCAACATGATATAAGTCAACCAAGAGAAGGAAATTTAAGCGGGAGCAGTAACCCATTTTTGGGATTTCCTGGTAGAGCAGACAATTTTGAAGATACAAGTCGACATGGACAACAGGGTGGTGAAATGGAGGATACCAGAAACGGAGCAGAGTCTACATTGGATGGTGGGACACAAGCAACTTCGGAACAGGTCATCAGTAGTGAATCAGATAGGCATCAAATTAGTAATAATCGTGTAAGCCAGGTTCCAATTGAGTTGATTCCTATGGTTGTGTCTCAAGTATTGAAAGCATTCAATTTTACAGAAAAATCGGAAAATCTTCCTTCATCATCACACCGCTCTGAGTCCGAATCAAAAGCTTTAAGTTATTCAGAACGTAACCGTTTGAGAGAACGATTGCCCGTTTTCGATAACAAGGGTGATGTTCATCCCATTGATTTCTTAGAACAATTGGAATTCGTTTTCGGTTTGGATAAAGTACCATTTCAATATTTCAGATATACGATAATCAATCAATTTGAAGGTGAAGCACTATGGTGGGCACAGGCTCATTTACATAAGTTCAATGATTTTTCACAATTCAAGGTTGCATTTCAGGAATTTTTTTGGTCAAATTTCAAACAGTTGGAAATTTTATCTAGTTTGGAAAATGAAAAGTTTGATGCGAGTAAGGGGTCATTTGTTCAACATTTCATGCGGTGCGTTGGTTTAGTAAAACATTTGTCTTCAATGTATTCAGAACAATTCATAATTCAGAAACTAGCTAGAAATTATCCTCCATATATAGCATCGTGTCTTATTGGGACCAACAATTTTTTGGAGGCTATCGAGAAAATGCGAGCTGCTGAATATTATTTTCCGTCTCCCAGAGGAAATCGTTTTGTTGGGCAACCAAGGGATAGCCAGGGAAAATTTGATCATGCAAATAATCCTCAAGGGGAATATCATGCTAGAAAGGTAAATTTCAATGGTCCAACTGAATATAAATCGAATTTCAATTCAAGTACTCAAAAACAAGGTACTCGCAAAGTTGCTACGTTAGAGATGGAAGAAGATAGTCATTCTGGTTTTCCTCCATCGGAAAACGAGTGGGAACCTCACCTTTAGGTCCGGAGGTGGGGTCAGTTGCTAATAGGTCCAATTTGCTTCTAAACAATCCTCGAGAAGATTTGTTAAAAGAATGTGAGTTTGATCACAAATATTATAAATCATCTGTACCAATTATTAAAGTGGAAATATTTCATTTGAAAACTTATGCTATAGTAGATACAGGAAGTGAGATCTGTGCCATCAATGAAGAAATTTGGTACCAATTAGCAGAGGTTCATAAAGAAATTCCAACATTTTCTTGTTCAGGTATCAAAATATTAGGGGCATTCAAAACAAAGCAAAAAGTAGTTAAACAACAGTCGCTGTTGACTTTCAAAATTTTGAATACGGAATTTACTCATGAATTTCTGTTGGTTCCGGGTTTGGTGTATCCTGTTATTATAGGGGAGGATTTTTTGAGATTTTTCAATGTAAAGATCGATTTAGGTAGCGAAACTATTTTCATAAAACTAAATCAGGAATGGATTGCAGTTCCTGAGCTGAATACAGGTCATCAGGTGATGAATTCTGATAGTCTTGGAGTTAAATTGCTGAGAAAACAGAGTAGGCCAGCAGTGCCAGCTGAAGACTGTAGTTATGAAGCTAGTTATGATTTTGATGAAGTTGTTGAAAAATGCAATTTAGATTTTGATGAGAAAAACGTTTTCAAACAGTTATTGATAAAACACGCCAAGATATTTTCTGAAAGGCCAGGACGGACATCAGAGTATGCTCATAAAATAGAATTGAAAGATGAACGCGAATTTCGCCTGAAACAGTATCCAGTGCCGATCGCGCATCGGGAAGCAATTCAAAGACAACTCAGTTTAATGGAAGAATGGGGCGTGATCCGCAGGTTAGCTACTCAATATATTAACCCGATCATGACAACTCTAAAAAAAGATCATTCAGTAAGGGTATGTTTGGATGCTAGACATTTGAATAAAGTTATGGTCAAGGAGTATGAAACACCTAGGCCAGTTGAGGAAACACTTCGAACTTTGAAAGGATTCAGGTATATGAGTAGTTGTGATTTAACTCATGGTTATTGGCAAATTCCACTAACAGAAGATTCACAAAAATATACAGGATTCAAGTTTGAAGGTAGAACATATGTTTTTTGTGTACTTCCTTTTGGTTTAAGTACCAGTGTCAGTACTTTTTGTCGGTGTTTAGATCTGTTGATAGGGGATGATTTAAAAGATTTCATTACATTTTATGTTGATGATATGCTGATCACTTCTTGGACGTTTGAGGAACATGTAGACCATTTGGATAGATTATTTGAAAGAATAAAAGAATTAAATTTCACTTTACGCCTGGATAAATGTTCATTTTTTCGTACAGAAATGCCTTTCTTGGGATATATTTTAGATTCGGTAGGGATCAGACCAAACGAAAATAGGGTTCAAGCTATTGTTGATTATGTTGTGCCAAGGAATTTGAAAGAACTACAGAAATTTTTGGGGTTGGTTAACTACGATCGGTCATTTTGTCCGGAGTTAGCAGATGTGACGGCACCGTTAACCAGCTTATTTAGAAAAAAGAGTCGGTGGAGATGGACAGAGAAGGAACAAGCAGCGTTTGAGCAAGTGAAAGAAAAAATCAGTATGGTTACGTTACTATATCACCCTAGGGAAGATATGCCTTTTTGTTTATCCACAGATGCATCCGATGTGGGATTGGGTGCTCAGTTATTCCAGGTGGTGAATGATGAGCACCATGTCATAGCATATGCCAGTAGATCACTTTTAGAAAGGGAGTCGCGATATAGTATCAATGAAAGGGAGTTGCTATCGGTAGTATGGGCTTTGGAAAAATTTAGAATTTATCTTTTGGGGAGGCCATTCAAAATTTTCACTGACAATTCGTCAATCACTTATTTGAGATCTTGTAGGTTATTGTCATCAAGGATAGCTCGATATGCGATGGCGATACAAGAGTATGATTTTAGTATAGAGTATATTCCGGGATCGAAGAATATTATCGCTGATGCATTGTCTCGTCATGCAGCTGTTCGCCCGCCAACACCGCAGGACAGAATATTCCAGATGTTATCGTTAATTAAATTGCCTAAAAAATTTCAGAATATCTGTAGAACTATTGGGGTAGATCAGCGGAAAGATATAAAATTGAAGGACATAATTGAGAGTCTTCCAAATGATTTGAAATTACAACAACGATTTTTTGTTAATAAGGGTATACTGTATATTAGACAAGGGAAGGAGGAAGGACGATATCTATTATGCATACCTCAATCATTGGTTGTGGAATTTGTTAGGGCGTATCATGAAGCATTTGGTCATTTTGGATGTTTCAAAACATGGAAGGCATTGAAAAATGAAGTATGGTGGAATAATATGGCTAAAGATATCAAACGTTATATCAAAGGTTGTGAGGTATGTCAGAAAACCAAACATGCTCCACTGCCAGTTCCAGAAATGCACCCAATTTTGGTGGAAGGGAAAAGTGAACTTGTTGCACTCGATTTATATGGGCCTTTGCCTAGGAGTAGAGGCGGTGTAACATATATTTTAGTAGTCATTGATGTGTTCACCAAGTACGTAGTTTTATATTCACTGAAAAAGGCCACGACGAAGGCATGTTTGAATAGACTTATTAATCACTATTTCAAAGAGATTGCAATACCAAAAAAAATACTGAGTGACCATGGCACTCAATTTACATCAGTAGAGTGGGTAAATGTGTTGAAAAGTTTCAATATCACGATCATGCATTCGTCAGTTAGACATCCCCAATCTAATCCAGCTGAGAGGGTAATGAGGGAATTAGGTCGGTTATGCAGAGCGTATTGTTCAGATCATCATAAGCAATGGGCTAGATGGTTACCAAAGTTCTCAGAATTTTTGAATTCCTTAGTGCACGAGTCTACAGGGTTTAGTCCGAGAGAGTTACAATTTGGAGAAGAACAGCCAACATTGTTACCAAAAATTCTACATAGTCCGGGAAATAGACGATCGGAACCATATGAAAAAAAAAATTGTACTGGCAAAAGAAACTTTGGAAGGGAAAGCTATGCGTCGGAAGGTATCACATCCACCTAGGAACGGTTATCACATTGAAATCGGAGATTTGGTTTTATTAAGGGCCTCTAATGTGTCATCGATTGTAAAAGCTGAAACAAAAAAATTCCTGTTATTGTTCGAAGGCCCGTATTGTGTAAAAAAAAAGATAAGTTTCAATACGTTTGTCTTAACGGATCCAGAGACTGGTGATGAAAGGGGGATTTTCCATGCGAGTCATTTCAAGAAATTTCACCGACAACAAAATGCGGCTGAAAATTTGGAGGGGGGAAAGATGTAGCAGAATACTATAGAACATACGGTCTATCGATAGAATAAATGAACATCCTGTCCAGATTTCCAGATTGTTGTCATAGTAGACGTTATTTACGGCTACATGTAATTGTTTTCAAAAATCATATTCTCTTTCATAAGATATATTTAACAGCCTAGTGGTGTGATTGATATACGGATTCGTACGATACTATCTGCGTAACGCAATTGGACCTGGTGTTAGGTAAGTTACTCATTCAAGTTTATTGTAGTCAGCATCATGTTAAGATGATCTCTATTTTAGATTGTCAAATTTAGGAAGAATATAGATATATACTCATTGGTAGTGTTCTCTGTACTGAACTTCATTGTGCAAACCCATATTCGTTACACATAGTGTATATACATGTCCAGAAAAAAAGTAATCACATTTTTCCCGTGGGAAAAAAGTTATTTATGGAAAGTGAGATTTCATAACCTGTCAACAAAGATGAATTGTCAAACTTTGTATGTATGTTTGGTTGCCTATACCACAATCGACCAGATAAGTTGATCGTCAATCTCGGTCGTCAATATCCAAACTTATAGTCTAAGAGCTGGCGGCAAAAATCGGTAAGAGTTCATTAATGGCCCATAATTCAATATGATTTAGTATTGAGGGTATGTACACCCTGTACCGGGTAGGGACACGTTGGGCGCCAGGGGTATACGGTTTTTTTATTATTACTATCGCGCTTTTTTTCTTGTTCTCGATTTTTTTGTGGGCCCCACGTTGGGCGCCAACTTGTACCGGGTGGGGACTTTTCTTAGGGGATGAGTAAATAAATGTGGTTCTTCAAGCGTGTTTCTTTGTAGAATGCCGTTTATTATATAACCAGGGGGCGCCAGAGCTTGTAGAAGACACAGACTGAAAACTAATACCATGGTTTAACACGTGGATGTTCGGCCTTTTCCATACTTAACGCTACATGCATATTTCCTCGATTGCCTGATCTATAATCGAAAACTCTTTACTCACCTAATACTAGGAACAATTGGGAAGATTACTTATGTAATTTAACAAGATGAATCCAAAAGATTATTGATTTAAGGCTACTATATCTTTGGAAAGCTCGCTGATAATCTGCTAGAATTGCAAAAAGTCGGTAGGTATAAATTCGACAAAAAAAAACGAGTACTTAAATAATGTTGAATATTCGGAATAAAATGGTACTGCTCGCGCCATCTAGTCCTGCTCGCGCTATCTAGTCCTGCTCGCGCCATCTAGTCCTGCTCATATTGACGGATTATTAGCGATTAATCAACGGAAATAGGTTTCTGTAAGTCGCGTATATGGTACCCAAATAGCCAAAGTACCTATAGGATTCTACAGCTCGTAGGATTCTGTTACAACCCTCGATACTAAAACATATTGAATTATGGGCCATTACTAAACTCTTACTGATTCTTGCTGCCAGCTCTCAGACTATTAGTAATACCAAACGCTAGCGTTAATATTCTTTAGTAATACGAAGTCTATGAAAAATATCAATTGAAAGTTGAGTTATTCGGTTTTCCATTCGTCACTATGAATGTTTTTCTTTGATTGCTCTCATGTAATTATTCAAGAATAGATTTACACATACTCTTGAGTGCATAGTGAAAGTTCACTAAAAAACATTAATCACTCGTTGGCAATTTGCTACTTTTACAGGGAAAACAAGTTGAAAACATGTCCGACAATGACATCGGTCGGTAAACTGCAGATAGACGGCTTAAGCTACGATTTCACATCCGAAGATATGCAGGATCTTGGTGAGATCGGTAGAGGGGGTTTCGGGACCGTCAACAAAATGATTCACAGGTAGAGTTCTGAAAAGACCATAGTTTTGTTTCATCAACAGTCCAAGTGCCGGCTGGAAATTTCGATTGACTAACAGGAGGAAGCCATGATATTATAGTTATAAATGTATTACTTTTTCGAGCAACAAGCTTGTTAAGATATTTCTCATACTCCATAACAAAACATGTAAATGTTGGCTAGGTTAGAGACTTGGCATTGGCAATGCTGTGCTAAACGCTGAGAACTGACAAGACAACGCCCACAATCCTGTGTTGTCACGTTTACCGGACCATATCTCCTCTAGTGTGAATTAATACGATCATTATTAACACAAATTCATCATATACAGTAAGACACAACATATAAGAGGGAGAATTACAAAACAATGGATTTTTATAGCTAACTAGCAACCTGCACGCGTTGCTAGGCTACTTACTAAAATACATTCAATTGATTATATTTGACCCGGCAAACTATGTATGCAACTTTGCTAAGTACATTATTTTAAGAAAATATTTTTTCAGCTGAATATTCAACAACACACTCTTATTATTCTATTTTCTACTTCTTCCGTTTAGTTTGACTAACTATAAAAACGTACTTTCTTAGTTTTTCAAATTCGTAATTTGATGACAGTCTAAATTTGCAGCCAGCTCTACTCAAACTAGACTGGTTTAGCAATTATGACATATTACAATCCTATTCACAGATCAACGGGAACTGTGGTAGCAGTGAAACGTATCAGGTCCACCGTGGATGAAAAAGAGCAGAAAATCCTGCTGATGGATTTGGACGTTATCATGAAGAGTAACGAAAACCAGTACATAGTGCAATTTTATGGCGCTCTGTTTAAGGAGGTAAATTATATAACCAATATATGCAATCAATCATATGTAAAAATGTAAAATCTGTAATATAAACAAACCGAAATCTTACCTAAGGAGCATGATAATAGATTCACTGGGTCATCATAAAGCTGTTCAGCAATAAGAATGGAGAACATGAAACAAATTATGAAGACTCAATGATATTTGCAGATGAATGTGAAAGACACCCCCCTAGCTGTACTCTCCATATTATTCCCTGATAGCTGTATTCCATTATCATATCCATCGTCATTGTAATGCATTATATTGATTATTTGTTCTTCGACGACTATAGCTAGTGTCAACCTGGAATGAGAAGAGGGTCCCCCGTCTCAACATATTCCGTCAGATGATACTTTCTGTCATGTCATCGGCTCGCTTATACTGACCCACTAAAGTATAAGAACGTGTTCCTTGGCGTAGGGGTCAATGATATTATTCTGACTAACCATCAGAATAGAAGCTACAAAGGCTCCCCTGACCGACATTCAGTATACGTTCCAACGAGATCCAAAGGCTCTCCTCTGACCAGCGATCAGAATAATCAGTCACACGCAATATAATTAGATATAAGATAGATAGATATAGATATATATATTTGCGATCTCCACATGATCATCCCGTCTCGTCAGCGTTATTCCCAAATTCTACCTGCCTTGGTTGTAGGTACGGAAATAATAATAAAACAATAATAGTGAAATGAAATAGCGTTACATATTGATCATCAATCGAAAATGTTGAAATATCCTAAGAAAACATGTCAATATAGTGTCACAGGGTAGTTGTATTTTATATCATTCTAAAAAGTTTGAAAGTCGCCATTTACTTCAATATTGGTTATATTGAAATTAATTGAAAGAAGCAGTGGCCCCAAGACTGGCCCTTGGGGAACTACACAAGTTATCGCTAACTTTGTTATTTAATGTTACATTTTGATGACTACCTGATGAATAATACTTGAACCAGTTCAATGCCATTTATAGCTTTTCGCTTATAATGAATCAGAAAATAGCACTGCTGCTACATTAAAGAATGTAACTAGAAAAAAACATTTTGAAACAGAACAGTATCTTCTCACAGATGAGTATATTCGAAATGGGCAGGGTGTTCTTTGATTCGTGATATTATTTTCCGTCTTGTTCGTCCAACATATGTCATAATACTTTCGGACAGTTGAAAAGCACAGCATGTTCGATTTCAGGGCGACTGTTGGATATGCATGGAGCTAATGGATACTTGTCTAGATAAATTCTATAAATTCGTCTACGAAAGGCTAAAAACTAGAATCCCGGAGCCCATTCTCGGTAAAATAGCCTTAGCGACAGTGAATGCCTTAAACTATTTGAAAGAGGAATTGAAAATAATACACAGAGACGTGAAACCAAGCAATATACTCCTAGACAAAGGGGGCAACATTAAACTCTGCGATTTCGGCATATCCGGACAACTCGTAGATTCCATTGCCAGGACAAAAGATGCTGGATGTCGACCTTACATGGCGGTAAGTCAAAAATACAGAGAAGTGCACAAAAAACGGCCATGATTGTAACTTTTGAATTATTCTAGATAGGGTTTTGAAAATTGGTGGGTAGCAATTATACCAAGTTGCTCATTAATTGATGAAACAATTTGTCTTCTATCACTTCCAGTTTCACCGGAAACGACCCCAACCTTTGATTTATAAATGGGACACCCTGTATTGTATTCCATGATATATAAGGCACAGATCCGACCTGTCCTGGAATACTGCTCGCATATTTGGAGTGCAGCACCTAAACATACCCTGAAACTGTTGGATTCTGTCCAAAAAAGAGCAATTCGTCTCGTGGGTGATGCCTCGCTCACAAACTCACTCACCTCTCTGGAACACCGTAGAAAAGATCGCCATCTGGCTCTATTTTATAGATATTTCCATGGACGATGCTGTTCTGAAATATCAACAATTGTTCTTTCCTTGGTAGTCCCCGCGAGATTAACCCGTCGAGTTGAGGCTTCGCACCCCTTCGTGGTCACTTTAAAGACCTGCAGAACATCTCTTTCCAAAGACTCGTTTATCCAACGAACAGCGAGGCTCTGGAACACATTGCCAAGGGAAATTTAAGAAGAACACCAATTCCTACCTTATTTCCCTTGGTTCTCACTATGTTCTCTGAACATTACAGGATATCCCTTTTCGTGAGAACCAGAACAATCGGTTAGGGATTATCATGACGAATTCAACGATACCTGGTTTGATAGGGTTATTTCAAACGATTACAAAGATATTTGCGTTCAAAGTTGCCATATGCTCAATGGGTGTGACTTCGCAATATCAAAATTTTTTTGTCTATCACACTCATTGAGTAATGGAAACTTTGAACGCGAATATCTGCGTAATCGTTTGAAATAAATCTATCAAACCCGGTATCGATGAATTCGTTATGACGATCCTTAACCGATTATGGAATACAATACAGGGTGTCCCATTTAAAAATCAAAAGTTGGGGTCGTTTCCACGGAACAAAAGTTGTTACGTCAATTAATGAGCAATTTGGTATACTAGCTGCCCACCAATTTCCAAAACCTTGCATGACTTCTTATTTGAGAATTTGTCACACGTGCACGGAAAAATCCCTATTTCCAGACTCGTGATGAAATATACTATTTCAGCCGGAGAGGATAGACCCTCAGACGGCGAAAGGCTACGACGTGCGCAGCGATGTCTGGTCGTTGGGCATCACTTTGATGGAAGTGGCCACCGGCCATTTCCCCTACAAGAAGTGGTCAAGCGTGTTCGACCAACTGCACGAGGTGGTCAACGGCGATGCGCCCAGGTTGACCACCAACCACAACGCCAACGTGTTCACGGCGGAGTTCGTTGATTTCGTCAACACTTGGTAAGGAATCGCGGGTCTTCGATTGTTTGTTTCCTAGACTAAATAACAATTGATAGATAACGTGATTCATTCAGAAGTCATTAAGAAGTATAAGAATCCTACACGCCAAACACGGTTAAATGAATGAAATCACGAATGGTGGGGATAATGACAAAACACTTTTACATTTGCGGGTGTGCCTAGGGGTGAGTGCTCAGGCGTCTGGGCAGCATGTTCTTTGAATCGTGATATTATTTTGCATCGTGTTTGTCCAACATATGTCAAAATACTTTCGCTCAGTTGAAAACCACAGCGTCAACACTTGGTAAGGGTAAGGAATCGCGAGTCTCCGATAGTTTGTTTCCTAGACTGAATAACACTAGACACCGCGATTCATTCAGAAAGTATACGTCCATAATCCTAAACCCCAAACATGGTTAAATGAATGAAATCACGAATGGTGTGGATATTGACAGACACTTTAACATTTGCGGGTGTGTCTTGGGGTGAGTGTTCAGACGCCTAAACACCAAACACGGTTAAATGAATGAAATCACAAATGGTGGGGATAATGACAGACACTTCTACATTTTCGGTGAGTGCTCAGACTAAATAACAATAGATAGATACTGGGATTCATTCAGAAATCAATGAAAGGTATACACCAATAATCCTCAACGCCAAACAAGGGTAAATGAATTAAATCGCGAATGGTGGGTATAACTATCAAGGTTTCCATGACTGTGTATTTCCATTGATAAATTGACTCTCACGTATATCATGATACATCAGTTTGTATCGTCCTTGTGAGGATATTTGATATTTTCAATATTTTGAAGATCAACAAAAGCAAGCCCTCAAACATAATCGTTACTGGACCAAATTTCAACGTATCTGTGAAATATCAGGTTAGGAACTTTGTAACTAATAACTATTCTACAAATCTTTGACACTGCCAAACCATATTTGTGCACACAATAGTCTGCTTTAGATTTATAACATTAAATAAGTTACTGAAACAATGAAAACCAATCACACAAAAACCAGAAATGAGTATATTACTATAGTTGTATATTAGTAACGAATTTTTGAAAATTAAGGTGTGATGGTTGTTCCTTTATGTTATAAAGTTTGTTCTATTTTATGTGATAAGCTATTAATGCCGAGTAGATTAAGGTGTTTTATACGGAAAATCCTTTTGAATCATCGATCTGACAGCGGTTCCACAGAGAACCTTAGAATGTGAAGTATTTTCTGCAGATGAAATAAGCAAAATAATTCACTCTTTTTAACTAGTTACTCTGAGGTTTGTTTCATCGTTGTCGTTCTAAATGAAAACCTAGTTAGTGAGCTAGAGGTATAATATTATCTGTGAAAAAAAATGTCCCTACAAGAAGTGGTCGAGCGTGTTCGATCAGCTGCACGAGGTGGTCAACGGCGACACGCCCAGGTTGACCACCGACCACAACGCCAAAGTGTTCACGGCGGAATTCTTCGATTTAGTCAACACTTGATAAGGACCTCAGACTAAATAACAATAGATGGGCTCCTTAAAATGTAAACGCCGAGCACGGATAAATTAATGAAATAGCGAATGGTGGGGATAACTCTCCTGATTCATTGCCAGAGAATTGATACTTTATATATATATATTTTCTATTGTCTAATAAATCGGGTGTAAGAATCCAACAAATTGATAGCCTTGGATGGATTCAGACAAATTATAATGAACTGTGTTTTTCCTTTTTATTTTCCACTAACTACAGTTCAAACATGAAAATATCATAAAAATATCTGACACTGTCAAATCAAATCAAAAATACAGGGTCATCTTCATCAAAACTGAAAACAATCTCATTCACATCCTCCAACCTCTAGCTTAAGTAATATGCTGACCGGAAGAATCAAAGTTCCATCTTTTGTTTCGATTTCTACAGTCCTGATCTGCTTGTCACGTCCAGGAAATGGTTCATATCCGGCTCGAAGGACCAATGTAAGAATCCAACAAATTGATAGCCTTGGATGGATTCTTACATCGGGATTTCCATAAATGTGCGTTTTCCAATTGATAAATTGACACTCACGTGCTGTAATATTATTTCGTCATTTCGTAACGTGTTTGTGAGGTTATTTGATATTTTCAATATTTAATGCGAAGCCGGGCCGGACAGCTAGTTCTCAATATTATCATTTGGATTTGTTTTTGAGGCATATACATTTTGCAGCTTGATAAAGCAGGAGAATCAGAGACCGAAGTACAAACAGCTGCTTCAGGATCCGTTCATTCTGAGGGCACAAAAAGAAGTTGTCGACGTTGCTGCTTATGTTACCGAAATGATGGATGAAATGGCCAACAACGGTATAAGCGCTTTCACAACAAATTTACAGTGAACTTCTTATTTGATCGACAACCTTTTATAGACAAGTTTGCTAGATTCAGGAAAATCTCATCAATGTTTCGATTTTTTTTTCGACACATCATTTCGATTTCTGTGATTTTGATCTCATAATCTCGTAAACCTTGAGAGATACAGGGTCAGTTGAATTATGTTATGCAATTTGTTGGTTGTGTTGTGATTCATGTACAAAAATAAGAAGTCAAATGCCAACAGATGTGCAAGAACACAAACTTGACACAAATAAATTGCTTTTGAATGATCTTTTTTCCTCTTTGATGGTTGAAACTAGTTGTGTTATGAAAAAAAAAAGAAGTTATCTCATTTACCGACGGTGAAAGTGAATTCTTGCATATATTCGACATTGCCAGCTGTTGTGACAAGAGTACCTTTTTTGTAGTGAACAAGTTACGCAAACCGTTTCTTTCCATTGGCATTGGTTTCAGATGTTTATTTACTAAAAAAAGTCAAGTTCTATATATATCATGATATAGGTTTTATTGCCCGATGAAGCTATGCCAACGTATCGAATTTGAGTAAAATCTCATGAGCCATTTCGAAGCTATGAAGCAAAAACAATTTGAAAATGTGTGACTGAAGTACATCGGGGTATTCAAATTGTCCAATCATGGAAAAGGAAGTGCAATAAGTTCTAAATGCGTATTGAAGACAGGCTGAAAAAGAAGGTGAAATTTTGTGAAATATCTTGATAAATATAGTGGTTGCTAGATCTCATAACTAAGAGATCCAGGAATTCGTGTTTTTCAGACAAAACTACGTAGGTAACAAAAAACATTTAAAAAAAAACGCATGATAAGTGCTAAAGTTCCTTGTGGTCTGTGTATATTCTCATAAACAATCGGAAATTGTTATTTGATTCATGTCGATTATTGGCAATGAGATTAGTCTGTAAATCGAAACTTTGATGAGATTGAGCGTTTTTGATGAGTTTTTGTCCTAGTAATCATTTAACTTCTCAGGTGATGTATAGCAAAAAACTCCTGTTGAAAATATTAGGTAGTTAGATTGTTCTGTTATTTGAGTTGTCACTGAATTAGAGTTGTGGAAGTTCAAATCTAGCATCAATTTCAGATAGTTCTGGTAAGTGTAGGGCAAGTATTCGACGATAATTTATTTTGATTCTACATTTGAACAATATTCCTGCTACCCAACAAACTAATAAAAACTGTATAATTCTTCCCAAAATATTCATGCAATATATAGATGATTCCTTCAGTACAGGGTGATCCCAATTCAATGTTTTTCATATGGTTTTCAATAGATGGGATACAGACAAATGTGACGAAAATCCAAAAATGAATTTCTATCATCAATAAATTATTATCTTTGTGCAATTTGTATTTCTAATCTCAGTATAGTGACATAATTTCATTCAAAATTCCTTGGATTTTCGTTTCTAACTTCAAAAACCAACACATACTTTCTCTCCTCTGTTCTAGACTGATATTATTCATTGAAAAGCCTTTGAAAAATATTGAACTTGGTCTGACCCTAATTCCTTTGCAGGATTATTTGAATTTGAGGTTCATTATTCATATTTTGAGAACGGTAAGAGGTAAAAGAATTGAAAAAAACTGCACAAAAATATAAATTCACCATATTCTTTCAATTTATTTCCAAAATGTTTTTGCATGGTATGTTCAAATGTTTTATCTGTCTGGCCAATGTAACAAAACTTACAAGTTACAATTCTTTTGACAGAAATTGTGGAATCTCTTACATTTCTTGATATCCAAATGAACAACTTCGAATTTGAATATCTCCTGTATATTGTGATTTTATAAACAAAAATAATTGATATCTAATTATAATAATGGTTGATGTAAGTATAAGTAGTCTAGTAAAAATGTTACTGATACACAAAATACACCAAAATGAAGAAAGTCCATTTTGTACATAGAATTTAATTATTAGTGATAATTTTAGTTTAACTATTGTCATGTGATCTTCATTTAACTATTTAACCAAAATCAATATTTTTTAATGAATTTCGTAATTGTATTTTATGGTATTTTATAGCGTTTCTTATTTTGAACGCCCCCTCTTTATCCAAATTTGATGTAACTGTGATATTGAAGGAATGCGTTTAAAATGAGACACCCTGTATATTGCATTATTTTTGGTGGAGTGTAAATGTTTGATGAAATGAAAATTTTGTAGACAACAATATATTTTCCTATAATCATAATATCGAAAAGTATTGATTCCAAGCATTTAGCTTTTTCTATTGGTGCTTTGTTTTTATTTATTTATATTTTATATTATGAATTTATATGTATATTTATTTTAATTCCATATACTCCACATAATTTGAAATGTTTTTGTTTCAACTTAAATTGTTACTGTTTGAGAAGTAATCAACAAGTTGCCTATTGTATCTTATTGTACATAATTCCAATTTGTACTCAATTGTTCGAGAAAATAAACAAAACTATTGTTTATTTCCTGTTGGGTATGAAATGATTAAAAATAGAAAAAGTAAGTCTCTTTCATTTCCTTATAGTTCTTTCTCCTAAAGTAGACGGCCAAGTTCATGGTAGTTGCTAGATTTTTATTGCTATTTTCAAAAAAATGCAAACTATTAAAATCATCAAGTCAGCCGTAAAAAACAAAAAAAAAATCAATCTTTTTGGTTTTTGTATTATTAGAAATGGTATAAATCGACGCGAATTCGACTTTGTCATGATTATGTGTTAACAGATTCTGATAGCTTTTTTTAACCATGCCTATTATACAAAATGGTTCTAATGTGTTTCGACCTAGTATTAGCCGTCATCAATGTTTCTTCGAAATTCCAAAGAGGAAATACCATCAGTTCCACTTATTTCTGATCATTCATACTGAAAAGTAAAAAAAAAAACACTAAATTATTCAAAACAGCCCTTCATATTGTTGTATGTTAATGGATTCTTACATGAATTACCCTGGCAGAGATAAGTTAGTGGGTAACTTATCTCTGACCCTGGTAACGAAACTTTGACAACACGTACGACAGTAATTAAAAAAAAATGAATAACAAATGATGTGTTTAAAATTATTTTTTCTACTCACATAACTAAAATGGCATTTAGCATACGGATATGTACCACGCTAAATGATCGATTAATCACAAATTGTCAATCTGTGATTTATTCAAAATATTAAGCACATTACCATGGCAACACGATTTCTTAAACACATTACCATGACAACGCAGTTCATTAAACACAGCTTCAGTAATTTCAGACATGTCTGGCATGTCAATTGTATTAACTGTCAACTGTTATTTTCGAATTTTGTATCAGAATTATTCAAACAATATTCGTTTGTATCAGAATTCTTCATTAAAAATATACTTATGCGAAATGTGGACGAAAGTGAAATCGAAGAGAATGTTCTGGTACTTGCATAACTCCAAGAAGTGTAAAATAAAAGCATCCATCTTTGAGAACAATTCATTTATTCTGCGCTAAGCATGACAATAAACGTGAAACAAAGGTTAGTAAGCAATGGACTGGACACATCTACAACCAATATCACTTATACGTGTCTCGCTGGTTGCATGCAGTTGCATGTATTACGTTCTCAATTCCCATTCCTTTCGAATTATTTTGTAGGTTAGCAGGAATTGCAGGTATGTTTATTCAATTTTTGGGGTTCGTAGAAAAATCATAGTATGTAACGCGTTTATAAACTCTTCTAGACACTCGTTTATTAAACACTCGCTCCGCTCTGCTCCGCTCGTGCTTAAACTACTCGTTACTAAAAGGACGTTTATAACACTTGTTACATAATATACTATTATCTACTCCTATCAAATTATATATCAATGATTCAACTGCTTTTGAACAATTAATAGTATCTATAAACAAACAGCGTGAGTTATAATAACTCTCGTTACTATAACTCACTATAATACTTACATCGGGAAAGGAATTATTTACGAACCGAAAATCAAGATAGCTCAGTACTTCTGTACAAGCCAAGCCAGTTGGCCGAAAGGGAACAATCCATTATTGTTATTGAGGGGAGTGATGTCAATTGAATAATTTTGACGTTTTCAAATTAAGTTGATACAATTATTGTGATTTTTTTGATGAATTCAGATAGTGAAGATGGATTATCATTTAAATTTCAAAATGGAGAATATCACTCACAAAGAATTGGCATTGATAAATTTGGAGCAATGCGGAAAGACATTGCCACATTTCTGAAATTACCAGACTGTAATTTATATACAGGGCATTGTTTTCGCCGCTCGTTGGCAACTTTATTAGTAGATGCTAAAGGGGATATAACGGCACTGAAACGCCATGGCGGTTGGCGATCAGCTACTGTGGCTGAGGGGTACGTTGATGATTCCGAAAAGAATAAGACAGATACTGCAAATAAAATGTACAGTTCTACCCAGCAAACACATCTGTTATATTTACATCACTGTTATATAAAATCAACGGAACTTTTTTATATAGAATATTTACGTAAATATTCCATAATACTTCTAAAATATGTGAACCTCCTATTTATATAAAATATTTACGTAAATATTCCGTAACAATTCTGAAATATGTGAACCTCATAATTATATAAAAATGTAACGTAACTATGATGTAAATGATATGTGACAATTTGATATCAATATAAAAGCTTATATGATAGCTACATGACTTTACTAGGACTCTCGGCCGTAAATTCTCTGCAGACTTGATTCTGCGTCAATTAAAGATATTCTTTGGGATGATCAGTACCCGTGGTCTCGCGCTGTAATGTTCCCCCACCGCGATGATAATTATTTTTCGCTCTCGCACTGTAGCGTTTCTCCGTGACCACTCTGAGGTTATAAGTAATGAGTGAAGACTTGGAGACTGAAAGCATTTTCAGTATTTTCTTACTATTACGAGTGATTTTCTTGTTTCCACCAATTTTCTGCGCTGCAGTGGTCCCCCATCCCACATGCCCAATTCCTATTGGTCGACTACTTTGAGGTTATGAGTTATAATTATAAGTGAAGACGAGACCATAAACAAACTACACTGAAGGCATTTTCGGTATTATATAACTATTTCGAGTGTTTTTCTTGTCTCTACCTGCTGTGTTTGATGAATTAAACTGAACTAAAAGTGTTAATAAGAATAAGTGGAGGTGAGTGAGAATAAAACATGCCTTGAGATTTTCCTAACCTCTGTGAAAACAACAAGAAAGAAATCTATCCTGGACCTCTTAAATATGCCTAGAATAAATGATGAATCTGGTAGGTATTGATTGAATCCGAGGTATAATCTGGTCAAACTCCAATTCTCATATGAAATTGAACAAAAGCCAGTGATTGATTATGATGGCTGATGAAAACCCCAGTGAAAACCCCAAAGTGCCTCACATTCTGGATTAAAGTTATTATTATTGGTTATGGAAATTTAATCATTTTGTCAGTGATCATCATTTTTTGTTTCATAAATAAGTTCATGAAGAACCCCAATAAGATGAATCCTGAAATGTATACTTTTCCAGGTAGGTACATCTTTTCAAAACTCAAGGTGGTAAAGATGGGAGAGACTATCTATATAGGGGCCACACAATGTTCCTGGTAAGGGCAGAGGGGAAACATTGAAGTCAGAGATTTGAAATCAATCGAAATATCATTATCTGGTAATATATATTTTAGATTTTAATTTGAAAAATGAAAAACAAAGCAATATTTTTTCAGACTCCATCATTATCACACACCCTTCGATATCTTACTCTGATAGATAAACCAGCAGGAAGGTGGTTCTGATTTAGTCACCAGAGGTTAAATGGAGGGTTGAATTGGGAGATCAAGAAGAAATATATAATTTGATTACTCACAATTTTGATTTTTTGAACTTTTGAAGTATACATAAATGGTCTCACTATTTTCAAAGAAAAATAAAGGTCTCACTATTTTCAAAGAAAAATAAAGGTCATGTTTTTCATTTGATAATTGATGTTGTTTTATCATCTTCTATTCAGGACATTCCATTTTATTCGATTTGAAGATTATTCAGTCTATAATTTTTTGACAATTTTTTTGTTTTAAAGTTAGCAACTGATCAATTATACTGTGTACTATAATGCATAATATTTGGAACAGAAAGTCTTAAAAATTTTCGAGCAGAGTTTTTTTGTACATGAGGAGAATTGAAGTGAATACTGAATGATATAGGAGATAATAAACCATCAAGCATTTTATGACTAATCTGTCTCTGTTACATTTTCCCACACAATCAAAAATTGCCAAATAACTTCTTTTTCACACTAGCCCACTTCCAACTCTCATGCACATTTCTATAACCATATATCATCATCAGTAATATCAGTATAGATATTATGGAGTGTAAAGTTTGGATCACCTACTGATGAGATGATTGTACTTAGTTATCAATATGTGCATATGCCTGTGAAGTGAGTTAGTGAAGTGAAGGGTTCTTCGTGAAATTCCGATATTCATTTCAGATATTAGTCAAGTATAGTTTCATCAATATTATATTAAAATGGAGTCATATTTGTAGCTGACATTTTTACATAATAGGGATGTAAATTTTACATAACATCTAGAGAATGTTATGTAATATTTATGTCAGTTTGTTATATACGTAACATCTTATTTATAGCAATGAAATTATATAAAATATATATAAAATAGTGACATAATTGTTACGTAATAATCATGTAGTATTTGTGGCGGACATTTCGCCATAACAGTGATGTAAGTCTTACATAACATAGTTACATAACACGTATTGTCAGTTATGTAACACTTATGTCAATTTTACATAATTGTGTTTGCTGGGTATAACACCTCAACCAGTTAGTACATCAACAACATATATGCAACAAACACAAAAAGAAACAATTAACTTCCATAATTCAGTTCCACATATTCAGTTTACTAGTTGTTCAAACTTCACAGTTAATTTTTTCAATAAACAAAATGAGTGATCAAATCTGAAATTTGTATTGGGTATATCAAGATTTGTCAATAAAGTTCTTTCTCTGTACTTGTAACTTAGTATTTATTGTAATAGTCGTAGATAAAGTATAGTATTCAACTTGCGGTAATGGTCATAACTCACTTGATGAATTACAGCACTCGCCTGCGGCTCGTGCTGCAAACTTCATTTCCGTGAGTTATGACCTACATTACCGCTCGTTGAATAATATACTAATAACCATATTTTCTAAAAAAAGATATATACCCTCTCAAAGTTTGTTTTGAGACATTTCTAAGCATCAACATTTCGCTAGGGTTATACTATTGATCAGTGCTTTGATAACACTGTCCCTTACTGGTTCTTCGTTATCAAAATTATTTGCGTACCCAAAAAAAAAATCCAGCGTTGTCCAATCAGGTGTTCGCGCCGGACTGTAGAATAAGTTTAGTTATCAAGATATGTTTGGTGTACAACAATTTGTCGATTGTTGAAAGTTTTGAATTTGCTTGTGAAAAACCACTTGACTGCACCGGGTGAAGAGGAGAAGAAGAATATCCGACGGATACGACCTCTAGTGTCGATTGTTGAAAGTTCTCGTTTACTTTATGCCATGAACAGAGAAAACTATGGGAAGAAAATCGACTTAAGCAAGTTCAGCAACACAGACCCCCCAATAACAACAAACAGTATCAAAATATAGACATAGACAGACTCACCAGAGAGCGCTTCAGTATTCCTGTGTGTGAACTGAACGTCTCTGTTCATGTTCGGGGGTAAAAGTATCGGTATTCGGTAGCGTAGCCATGCCGTAGCCGACAGCTGTGCCTTTAGTCACTCTTTATATTTTCAATGAGGGGTCATTTATTTCTTTTTTCTATTTAATTAATTTTTGTTAATATATTTTCATGTAGTAATTATTGCAGAAATGAATTCTCAAACAGAATCGGATGAAGATGATCCAGTCGTGCGAGAGGTATTTTAGGTTATATTTTTGTTCTCCATAAGCAAAGATCCAGGACAAGATCTTGAATCTAATAAATAAAAGCCACATATATTTGGATTTCAGATACCCATCATACATTCCAAGAAACTGGAAAAATCTCTACACCTCTTCCAATTTCCTCTAAAAAGGAAGAAATGTAAGAATGAACAGAATATAAAAAAATGCTTTTTCAAACCACAAAATCAAGAAGTTAAATTAGAAATGGGCATAAATATGGACTCCCCTAATTTTGATTCTGGTAGAGCAAAAAACATAGCACTGGATGTAGATGGAGAAGAGGATTCCTCAAAGAATCAAAGATATTTCACTAATCAAATTGTAGATAAAGTATTTTTACAATCATCTGTAGCAGTTAAGGATCCAAATAAGTATGCAGCTGCTGTGTTCAATGGAAAAGAAATTCACCTCACTTCCCTAAATGGTGTGTACCTATAGTGTTAGTAATTTGAGTCCATGTCCTATATGTAATTTTTCAGGTGTATTTCAGTTTCGTCCTACATTTCCTTATATGGAAAAAAGTCTGAAGAAAAAGAAGGATACAGAAACTGCTAATGAGTCTGATGAAGAGCAAGCAGGGCCTAGTTCAGCTCAGCAAGTTACTGCAAAGTTCAAATCTAATGATGAAAGGTGGAAAAAGAAACAGGAGGAGAGCTACAAATTTCTGAAGGAGAAAAGTGCAGATGAACCTTGGACTGAATGTAAATGGTATGAAAGCCATAGCACTTTGAGCAGTGTGAGTAAGCATACATAGAATTGACTTATACACATTTTGGGTAATATTTTTTTGTATTATCATAGGTGGAGAGGTTGAAACTCATTTCAGATAGTACCAATGAGGTGGGTCAAGCAGAAAATCTTCCAAATTTGGAATACATTAGGTTGCTTGTTCCAGAAGATCAGGAACAAGTCCCACTTGAACCCACTCTACCTTCTAATGTGCTTTCTTTGCGGGCATTGAAAGCTCTTCCTATTTTAGAACAATGCAGACTTTTACTAAAAGATGGTAAGTCAATTTCATAGAAAAAGTGTGAGGGCAGTCTTTGGGGAATGCAGATAGAAGTGAAAGCTAAGTAACTTAACAAAATTACAAGTATCCCAAAAATGGATTATAAAAATAATGCTTTTCAGAAACAAAAGATATCCTAGCTACAGTGTGTTCAAAGAAAGTAAGTTACTGAACATTGAACAACTTCATCTGAAATCAATCATAAGATTCATGATTAATAACAATGACTGCAATGGAAATTTGAAACATTGTCAAAATCACATTTACTGAGTGGACCCAAAAATTTACAATTACTTACCTGACTGTCTTAAGATAAAGAATAACCACAGAATTACAAAAACCTTGACAGAATAGATTTTCCATAGTAAATATAAAATTAATTATGCAATTGCCTTCAATTACCTTGGTAATGACTGTGAAACAGATAAATGGGTGCACACACAGTATTATGAATACCATTGTGCATCTAAAAATATTAGCAGTATTATAATGTTTAGCCTGATGGTAGGATAATGTTTATTTGATAGATGTAGCATTAGTTCACTGTGATAATTTGAAACTCCAGAATGATAACTAAATAACTATAGTATTGTCTCAGAAGTCTGAAATTTGTACATGCTGCTGCTAATAAAATATTATTGTATTATAAAAAATTCTGAATTGTGTCTGCTAGCTATTAGATTATCATGTTTCTACTCCTTTTAAGTTCACTTGAATCTCCCAGTTTTGAGGAATGATTCATAATCTCCAACCCTGAAAACCCGAGAGCCAAATAGCCAAATTTATAATAGAATCGGATCAAATTTACAAAACTTGTTCGCCATATTGGTTTTGCATTCTTGAATTCCACATGTCCACAGTTTTAATTATAGAATCATAATCTCTGACCCCAAAAACCACCAAATACCAATTTTGAATAGAATCGGATCATAATTAGAAAACTCGTCCGCCATATTGGATCTGCAATATTGAATTTCCCAATTTTGTCGATGGAATTATAATCTCTGACCCCGATAACCCCTATATAGAAATTTGGATTAGAATCAGATGATAATTACAAAACTCGTGCGCCATATTTGATCCGCCATCTTGAATTTCCAAATTTTGATGAAAAAAATCATGATTTCCGACCCCGATACAAATTTTGAATGAAATCTGACCATAATTACAAAACTCGCCCGTCATATTGGTTGCGCCATCATTAATTTCCAAATTTTGATAAAGAATCAGAATCTCCGACCCTGAAAACCCGCGACCATAATTACAAAACTCGTCCGCCATAATGGATCCGACATCTTGAATATCCTAATTTTCACAAAGGAATTCTAATCTCCGACCCCGAAAACCCCATCATACCAATTTTGAATACAATCGGATCATAATTACAAAACTCGTCCTCCATATTGGATCCGACATCTTGAATATCCTAATTTTCACGAAGGAATTCTAATCTCCAACCCTGAAAACCCCATCATACCAATCTTGAATAGAATCGGATCATAATTACAAAACTCGTCCGCCATATTGGATCCGACATCTTGAATATCCTAATTTTCACGAAGGAATTCTAATCTCCGACCCCGAAAACCCCGTCATACCAATTTTGAATAGAATCGGATCATAATTACAAAACTCGTCCGCCATATTGGATCCGACATCTTGAATATCCTAATTTTCACAGAGGAATTCTAAACTCCAACCCCGAAAACCCCATAATACCAATTTTAGATAGAATCGGATCATAATTACAAAACTCGTCCGCCATATTGGATCCGACATCTTGAATATCCTAATTTTCACGAAGGAATTCTAATCTCCAACCCTGAAAACCCCATCATACCAATTTTGAATAGAATCGGATCATAATTACAAAACTCGTCCGCCATATTGGATCCGACATCTTGAATATCCTAATTTTCACGAAGGAATTCTAATCTCCAACCCTGAAAACCCCATCATACCAATTTTGAATAGAATCGGATCATAATTACAAAACTCGTCCGCCATATTGGATCCGACATCTTGAATATCCTAATTTTCACAAAGGAATTCTAATCTCCGACCCCGAAAACCCCGTCATACCAATTTTAAATAGAATCGGATCATAATTACAAAACTCGTCCGCCATATTGGATCCGACATCTTGAATATCCTAATTTTCACAAAGGAATTCTAATCTCCAACCCTGAAAACCCCATCATACCAATTTTGAAAAGAATCGGATCATAATAATTATAAAACTCGTCCGTCATATTGGATGCGACATCTTGAATCGATTTTTTGCTATTCAGTGACTTCAGTGAGATGTGACGATGACGCGAAATCCAATGGTTTTCTTCGCCCAAAAAAAGTGCTTCATCCTTCATCACACATAGAGAATACAATTCTCAATGTATTTCTAAATTTTTTGATGTTCATAATGTATCTGAAAATATTCCTTTTCAATACTTCCATAACCAATCAAGGGAAACTTGTTTTTTTTATAGACCTCTAATCGCAGATTCGTCATTGGGTTTTCTCAATTCAGAATTTTTTTCCACGTCCTATCTGATGAATATCAATTTTGTATACATCCAAAAAACAAGATGATAGGCTAGGGGACTATTTTTTTTTAATTCTTAAATGGAATCATCGATTTTGAGGTGCTAAAATCGTCAATAATGCCACGGTAATTTTCAAACGGCTAGAAATTTACTGCTAGAAAAAACTGACGTCTCGATTTCGTAAGTAGGGGCAGACCATAACACAGATGCTATATGTTGAAATACGATTGGGAACTACAGAAATATTAATTATTCATTAATTCATAAATTCTCATTTATGTATTGGTAATATTCCTAATAAGCAATAAAAAATCAATTGTCTCAAAATGTTTCATTGGCTCAAGCGTGCTCCTCAAGTTTCCCTTCTGGGACTTGACTTTTGATTTTCATAAGTGCGCGTTCTTCATTTTTAATGAAACCCGTATATTCTCAACAATATATGTTTATTATCAATCTCGATATTATGATGACAGACATCGGCATCCATTTTAAAAAAATTATAATGTTCACCTCCATTAACTTCTAAAATATGGCTGAAGATGGACATCTATAAGTCCGAAACATGTCCCTTTGATTGACTACATCATTATTAAAGTTGTGGAGATGACTTTGAGCTTTCCTTCTTCCTTTTGGAAAATCCCACTCCACTTTAAGCAAACATAGACTTCTACCAGAGATTATAAAAAATATTGTCTTTGTTCGCCAGCCCAAATTATTCAATTCCAACAACTGCTGATGCTGCTAACCGGTGGCGGGGGAGAAAAATTCACAGCCGACAGTCTGCTGAAGGTCCTCCCTAACGTGGCTGTTCTAGTCAGGGGTAATTGGGTGGTAAAGTCGGAGGTTTTGTATCCGAAAAATTCATTTTCTGCTACCAGTGGAGTTCCCGCAGAACTGATGTGCAGAGCTAGGGATTATGTTGTGAGTATTCTGTGGTGAAAAATTATTATATTCAACATCAAAAATTACACTTGGTATTCGCTTTTTTAGACATTTTCATCTTTTATCAGAACTATCATTCTTTTTAATTGCATGGTTTGGTTGACTTCTTAGTGACCAAACATTTCAACGAATTTTAAACTCATTTACAGAAATTTGTGATTGCAAATCTGATATTCTGTCAGTTTACCGCTTGGTCAGAATTCTGACTTGTATGTCAGAATTATATAGTCACAATCCTGAGATACAAGCTGAAATTCAGACATTTTAGAAGTCTGCACATGAGTCCAGAACACAAATGTATTCATTTTGTTTGTATCAGAATAATTACTTATATCTCAGAGTAATACCACTAATACCATCATATATCTCATCATTCTGATTTATATCTCTGACTGGTATCTTGGAATTCTGAGGAACAACTGAGATTTTCGACATACAACTGATAATTATTATGGAATTGAATTTCACTTGTATTTCAGAATTCGAATATCACAGTTCAGGCTTGTATCTAAATTCTAAATGTATTTACATGTCAGAGTTCTGACATATATGTTATAATTTTGACTCCCATGAACATTATAGGATTTTCCTTTCATGCCCTCCAAGAGATAAAAAAAAAATTCTGACTAGTATAACAGAATTTCTGACATGTATCTCAATTGTTCAGGCTTGCATCTCAGAATTCTGACTTGTGCTTCAGAATTCCTAACATGTAACTCATAATCTTAACTTGTATCTCAAAAGTTCAGGCATTTACCTCAGATATCTGACATACAACTTAGAATTGACGTGCATGGCAGAATTTCTGACATGTAACTCAGAATCCTGGCTAGTATCTCAAAAATTCAGGCATGTATCTCAAAAGTTCAGGCTTGTATCTCAAAAGTTCAAGCTTGTATCTCGGAATTATAATTAGAGTTTGGGACTCCGACAGTATATCTCATAATTTTGACTTGTATGTCAAAATGTCTAACTTGTAACTCAGAATCCTGACTTGTAGCTCAAAAGTTCATGCTTCTTCTCTGGTGTACAACTTTGACATTGAATCTCATAATTTTGACTTTTATGTCAAAATTTCTAACATATAACTCAGAATCCTGACTTTTAACTCAGAAGATCAGGCTTGCATTTAAGAATTCTGACGTTCAACTTGGAATTCGGACATATAACCTGATAATCTCGACTTGTATGTCAGAATTGTCAACTTGTAACTTTTTATATTATTTTGACATAAACTTCAGAATTTTGGACGTGCAGCTTGAAATTCCGACATTGTATCTTATAATTCTGACCTGGTATGTCAGAATTTCTGATATGTAGGATTCTGACTCCTCTCTGTCAAAATTTAGGCTTGTATCTCAGAATTCTTACATGTATCTCAAGAGGTCAGACTTGTATTTCAGAATTCTTATGTACAACTCAGAATTTTCCGACATCTCATCTTATGGTTATGACTTTTATGTAAGAATAATTCTCATAATTGAGGGGGCAAGTGGAAGAAGGGGTCAAGTAACATTTTCTGAAAATATCAGTTATGTCATGGAAGAAGGTGTTATGTGCATAATTATGTAACTTGCCCTGTCAAGATTTGTTTCTATTCTCCATATCTGAGTAGATACACAGTGGCACAAGGGGCTATGTTACACCTTACATCAAGGACGCAATGAAAGAAGGAGCTATATGCCCATTATCTACATGTCAGGAAATGGAAGAAGGGTTTATGTATGCATGAATCCATATGTATATCAAAAAATGATATGATAGCAATATGCGGTAAATCATAAAATAACAACCTAAAACTATTCCTCACAATTGCATAAATCAAATTATTAAACTAGCTTTCATTAAAAAATGCCAGCTAACATTACCTATTTTTTCACAAACTCATATTTGTAACATAGCTCCTTCTTCCACTTCGATTATTATGACATTAATGTTATAATAATTCTGACTTGTAACTCAGATTTCTGACATCCATCGAGAACACAGAGGCAGCAGAGGCTGTTCAGCCTAAGTACGCACAAACATAATCCTCTAATCTTTCTGAATCGTGTTGCAGCTGTACCTGTTCACGAAAAACCAGTACGTCGAGCGCAAGAAGGCTTCCTCAATCCTGAAAATCCCCTCGGACGAGATCAAGGAGATCTTCACGGGAGTTTCGAAACTCCGTCGGCACAACAAAGAATGGGAGCTGAAGTCGCCCACCGACCAGGACTTCGTCAACAAGCACGGCGACCTGGCGCAGAAGCAGAGCCTGATGTGGGAGCACCGGTTCCACCAGCTCAGCGAGTTTCTGAAGGATACTAGCAAGAGTAGAAGGAAGAGCAGAAGCGAGAGTAAGAGTGTGAGTGAGGAGGGGGGTGGGAGGGGAAGGAACGGGCCTAGTTTCAGTTCGGATAACGATTCAGGGACGGAGAAAAACAGTAGCAAGTCGCCCGTGGCGGGGAGAAAGAACAAGAGTGGGGTTAGAGTGAACCATCAAACGAAAGCAGATACGAACTTGTAATATATTATGTTAAGTTATTTATCTTTGTTTCATTTTTCTAAGTGTAATATACCGAATGTTTGACGAAAGCACATATTTAAAAGAGATGGATCCATTTCAATTCACTTGCCCTTGGTTCAGTGGTGATGTGGACTAGCGGCCTGGAAAATATGTAGCTGTCACTCTCTGTTGTGAATGGTACAGTTTTAGACTTTGAAGTTTCAAATACTACTTTCAGTCAGACCATTTTCTCTGAATCCAAAAAGTTTTTTAAATAATAAAATCATTCTTCATCAACAAGTACGATTTGTCTCAGAAGCAGAGCCTGATGTGGGAGCACTGGTTCTACCAGCTCAGCGAGTTTCTGAAGGATAATAACAAGAGTAGAAGAAAGAGCAGAAGCGAGAGTAAGAGTGTGAGTGAGGAGGGTGGTGGAAGGGGAAGGAACGGACCTAGTTTCAGTTCGGATAACGATTCAGGGACGGAGAAAAACAGTAGCAAGTCGCCCGTGGCGGGGAGAAAGAACAAGAGTGGGGTTAGAGTGAACCATCAAACGAAAGCAGATGCGAACTTGTAATATATTATGTTAAGTTATTTATCTTTGTTTCATTTTTCTAAGTGTAATATACCGAATGTTTGACGAAAGCACATGTTTAAAAAAAGATGGATCCATTTTAATTCACTGCCCTTGGTTCAGTGGTGATGTATAGACTAGCGGCCTGAAAAATATGTAGCTTGTCTAAAAACAATTCTATAAGACACTCCTATTGGATTTCCAGGAAATTGTAGCTGTCACTCTCTGTTGAGAATGGTACAGTTTAAGACTTTGAAGTTTCAAATACTACTTTCAGTCAGACCATTTTCTCTGAATCCAAAAAGTTTTTTAAATAATGAAATCATTCTTCGTCGACAAGTACAACGATTTGGCTCAGGAGCAGAGCCTGATGTGGGAGCACTGGTTCCACCAGCTCAGCGAGTTTCTGAAGGATACTAGCAAGAGTAGAAGGAAGAGCAGAAGCGAGAGTAAGAGTGTGAGTGAGGAGGGGGGTGGGAAGGGAAGGAACGGGCCTAGTTTCAGTTCGGATAACGATTCGGGGACGAAGAAAAACAGTAGCAAGTCGCCCGTGGCGGGGAGAAAGAACAAGAGTGGGGTTAGAGTGAACCATCAAACGAAAGCAGATACGAACTTGTAATATATTATGTTGAGTTATTTATCTTTGTTTCATTTTTTTAAGTGTAATATACCGAATGTTCGACGGAAGCACATGTTTAATAAAAGATGGATCCATTTTAATTCACTGCCCTTGGTTCAGTGGTGATGTAGACTAGCGGCCTGAAAAATATGTAGCTTGTCTAAAAACAATTCTATAAGACACTCCTATTGGATTTCCAGGAAATTGTAGCTGTCACTCTCTGTTGTGAATGGTACAGTTTTAGACTTTGAAGTTTCAAATACTACTTTCAGTCAGACCATTTTCTCTGAATCCAAAAAGTTTTTTAAATAATAAAATCATTCTTCGTCAACAAGTACAACGATTTGGCTCAGAAGCAGAGCCTGATGTGGGAGCACCGGTTCCACCAGCTCAGCGAGTTTCTGAAGGATACTAGCAAGAGTAGAAGGAAGAGCAGAAGCGAGAGTAAGAGTGTGAGTGAGAAGGGGGGTGGGAAGGGAAGGAACGGGCCTAGTTTCAGTTCGGATAACGATTCAGGGACGGAGAAAAACAGTAGCAAGTCGCCCGTGGCGGGGAGAAAGAACAAAAGTGGGGTTAGAGTGAACCATCAAACGAAAGCAGATACGAACTTGTAATATATTATGTTGAGTTATTTATCTTTGTTTTATTTTTTTAAGTGTAATATACCGAATGTGACGAATACACATGTTTAATAAAAGATAGACCCATATATTTAGTTCACTTGGTTCTGTGGTGATATCGACTTGCGGCCTGAAACAATTTATATATAGCTTGTCTAAAATCAATTCTATGAGACACTCTCTAATGGATTTCCAGGAAATTGTAGCTGTCACCTTCTGTTGTGAATGGTACAGTTTTAGACGTTGATGTTTCAAATACTCCTTTTCAGTCAGACCATTTTCTCTTAATCCAAAAAGTTTTTCAAATAAGAAAATCATTCTTTGTCAACAATAAGTACAACGATTTGGCGCAGAAGCAGAGCCTGATGTAGGAGCTCGCGGGTTCCACCAGCTCAGCGAGTTTCTAAAGGATACTAACAAGAGTAGAAGGAAGAGCAGAAGCGAGAGTAAGAGTGTGAGTGAGGAGGGGGGTGGGAAGGGAAGGAACGGGCCTAGTTTCAGTTCGGTTCGGATAACGATTCAGGGACGGAGAAAAACAGTAGCAAGTCGCCCGTGGCGGGGAGAAAGAACAAAAGTGGGGTTAGAGTGAACCATCAAACGAAAGCAGATACGAACTTGTAATATATTAATATGTTAAGTTATTTATCTTTGTTTCATTTTTCTAAGTGTAATATACCAAATGTTCTACGAAAGCACATGTTTAATAAAAGATGGATCCATTTTAATTCACTGCACTTGGTTCAGCAGTGATGTCGACTTGCGGCCTGAAATAATTTATATATAGCTTGTCTGAAATCAATTCTATATGAGACACTCTCTATTGGATTTCCAGGAAATTGTGGCTGTCACTTTCTGTTGTGAATGGTACAGTCAAGATGCCTAGAGAAGAAGAAAATAATTAGAAAATCCAAAGTGGTTTTGCTAGCTTATTATATTGAATGGAGGAGTAGAAACCACTTGGTGATGGATAATACCTACATTGATAAAACCTGGAGACACTTATATGCTAGAAGAATGGTCACATGTATTGGAGGAAATCCTATTGATTATTCTGATATTCTCAAGATATATAGGTTTTCATACACAACCATAATTCACTATCGAATGCAATCTTTCCTGAAATGATCAGATAATACATTGAGCACATGAAATTTGAGAGTACCTACCTCAATATTAAAACGCCCCAATAATGAGCAAAAGGGCTCATAAGGGCCTACCTGGGAGCAGTGCCTTCCCACAATATCACCAAGTAGGTATAAATTGTTGTTGTTGTAAAATTGTTCTATCCGTCATTCGGTTGCCCCCTTTACGAGCAACCCTCAGAAGTCTTCGATAGTCTTGTGCGAGCAAGGAATTACGGGGGCCTTACCTTTCAACTTGTGATCCCAAACATTTTCTTCGGCCATCAGAAAAACTTTTGCAGTCGATGGGAATCGAACCCACGACCGGCAAGCGAATGGGAATTAGAATATTGAAACTGTCCGCACGGCTACCAGGCCCCCTTACACTATACCTACTAAGTAGGTACCAACTGAATCAAGTTACCTAGTTCAGTTTTAGATTAAGAAGACATGAATTGATTATAAGAGAATGCATGAGAATTCCTTTGAGACATACCCCACAGAGAGAACGGGAACGTATATACTTGAAAAACATTGAACCATACTTTGGCACAATGAATAATAATCATATATTTTTTCAACTGTGCTTTGGGATGGGAATATTGTAAAAGTTAAAATAAAATGATAAAAATCTTGACATCTCCAGATTTCATTCGAAGATCTGCTGAGCAGTGAGCACTGAGCTGACCTGGCTCACAGATCGTGGGTAATTCAAGGAACTAAAACACTGTGTTTTAGTTCTGTGGGGTAATTTCGTGTTTTCAACGGAATGACAGAATACAGAATTTTTATTTATTTATTACGATCGTGGCGCCATCTCAATGAAAGGTGAGAAGTATTATTCTCGTTCTAAATCGTTGTACACTTTTGTTACAAAAACAGTTGAAGAGTCGCTCCACCAGTCAACTTATAACCTCACAGTACAGTTTTACACTTTGAAGTTTCAAATAATCCTTTCAGTTACACCATTTTCTCTGAATCCAAAAAGTTTTTTAAATAAGAAAATCATTCTTCGTCAACAAGTACAACGATTTGGCTCAGAAGTAGAGCCTGATGTGGGAGCACCGCCAGCACCGGTTTCACCAGCTCAGCGAGTCTCTGAAGGACAATAACAAGAGTAGAAGCGTTGATTATTATATTATGATCTCTTGAGAATCATAAACCTGACACAAATGACATTTCTGATTTAGATTTGACGCTTTATATAATTAAAAAACTTCAATTACCTACTTATTAGTCTTTCAATGAGATTTCCTAAGTACCTAGGTATTTTCTTTGAAATCAAGCAGTTTTGAATTGATTTTTTTTTGGATTTCACAAAGGCATTATTTTGTATTAAATTCACATTGACTGTTGAAACTTTCAATTCTAAGTTCTTTCAAATTTCAGAAATTATCATGTATTCAGGCTGGTTTTTTTCTACCAGGTAATTCATCAGGCTTTTAATTTGTCCTTTGGGATTCAAATGGGGTAGATATACTTTGCATTCAAACTTTCATCTGAAATCAAACTAATTTTGAGTTTACATAGGCTGTTCTTCCCCTGATTTGGAATATTTATTTTCATTGATGTTAGACCTTATTTTTATTTTTTTTAAATTTAATCCTTTTGTTCCTGTCTGAATAAAAATGTACTAAACAACAATAAGTTTCCTCTATTTTCTATATAGAGTGATTCATTAAGAATAGCCATGATATGAACTACATAGTTATAACACCAAAAGATGAATAAGGTTTAACCCATGGTGGAATTTAACCCAGCATACCTTATAAAACTGTTGCAGATACAGGGTGTTCAAGGGAAAAATGTTTAAATTTCTCCTCCCTTAAACTTCAGTTCAACATTTTTTCAAAATTCTGTTTGTTGTTGCCATTGCATTGGTGATTGTCATTGTCATTATCAAACTTAGAACTAGGTAGTCTATCAGTAGTTCAGATATTGCTCATTCTCAATGAATCACCCTGTATAGTACATGAGAAAATTCACTGACCTGTAAAAATCAATTTTTCTAAAACAAGTTTCAACAACAAAGGACGGGTATTTATTAAGGTCCCTACAAATTTGTCTGGGTGTTCCTAACAGCTTGGACCAGAAAACTTTCCAATAAAATGTGAAATCTATCATTATTAGGTGCCAATATTGACAAAATCATGAGGGTTATTAAGGAAATTTAGATTGAATAATGTAGAACAACTGTAGTCGAGCAATAACTATTTGGAACATGACTTCAGCCAGAAAAGCAAACTAGTTCATGTTGGTAATATATCTACCATTTATTTTAAACAAAATAGATACAAATTAAAAGAAGCAAAACACATCAATGAAGTGATTTTACAGTCCATATACTATCTATAGTTACTGTGGGGCACCATCTCCAGCTGGCATAGACCTGATGATATCACTGTCTCCTGGATCAGTGATGGACATGGCGCACACCCTGAAGTATTTCCCGCAGGCAGTACCGAGCTCCACATTGTTCCCAGTGTAATGATGCACCCCAGTCTTGGCCAACATTGCATAATATTCAATTTCCGACTTCCTTAGGGGTGGCGTATTGTTGGAGATGATGATGAGTTTGGCTTTACCTTGGCGCAGGGTCTTCAGAGTTTGTTTGTATCCCAAACAAAACTTTCCAGACTTCATAACCAGAGCCAGACGGCTGTTGATGCTTTCGATAGCTTTTTTCTGTTTCTTTTGAGTTACCATTTTGCCTAAATTCTTTGTACTTTTAGCACACGTGCGAATCGTCGGCTAACCAAAACGAAAGAGGAAACGCCAGTAACCAGTGTTGCCAGCTGCGAAACATGAAATGATATTGAAATGTTGCAAATAGTTAGGAAGAAAACCGCTAGAAGTCGCTCTGTGGCTAAAGCGAGCAGAAAGCCTAGCGCAGGCGAAATTTTTGAAAATTTAGCGACTTTTTTTCTCGATTCAGCGACAATTTTGATCATGTTGAAGTATTCACAAGATTTGCATCATCGAAAAGTGGCAGAAATTGTGCAAATAATGGAAGCAAACCCTGAATCCTCTGACGTTTGTCATTCTCTTTCCTGCTCATCTCCATCTTATCACTTTGCCCCGAATGTATCTCCATATTTTCTCCATATAAACCGCTATGACTATGTTGAAAACGCTAGAATTTCGACACGTAGCAAATCAGGATTAAAAACTAGATTCAGCGACAAAACCGCTAAGACGGCAACCCTGCCAGTAACGCAAGATCCACGAGTGTGGCGCTGTTACCGACAAGTGACAGTTGTCAGATGTCAAAGTCGATCATTACAGTCAAAACAATTTCGTGTCTAATGGCAAGTTCAAGTACTAGTTATTAGGCCTGTTCGTTTGTGCTTGCTCAACCTGCTGAACTTGATTTTTTTCTATGACTTCTTTGTTTATATGATGGCATGAACAGAGACAACTATGGAAAAAAGATCAACTTTAGCCAGTTTAGCAATACAAACGAACAGACCTATTGGGTCTACCCTTGTTTAATGCAAGCGAGAAAGAAAGATCGATATACATTGCTACCTATCTTTATATGAAAAACTACACTGAACTACGCTCTGTCATTAATATCCTGACATTTGACATTCTGTTTTTCAAGTTAAGAAACGTCAAATCTTTCTTTTTCTTTCTGTTTCTGAAAAGACAAAAAAATCTTTTCAGGAAGGAAATGGAACCTATGAAAATTTTATTTGGAAAATGTAAATTATTTCAAAAAACTCTTCGATTATCTGGGTTGGTATTATTATGTAGTTGAGCATAACTTTTTCAGTCTTCTGCAGCCAGCAGACTGAACAATTCTATTTATACCAAAATTGTTGTTTCAGTATATTTCTGCAGCAAAATGGAATGTCTCAGTATCCCACTTATTATATTCCCCCGGTATACAAGAAAGATGCTCAAGAGGAGTTAATAAAAAGTGGAGAAGCTACAAAATTGGTACATATCCCAACCAGAGCTGCCTTGAGTGATCAAACAAGTTCTTTAGCTCATGATGACCTAGTGAAGTTAGTACAGTCCTTAATTATTTACACTAGTGTGAATACTCAATGGTACAGTTAATTTGATGAGTTTGCTATAATGATATGTCTTTTTCAAGTCTATTCATCAACTACTGTATGAAAGATGGTTTGAAACAAATAGCAAGACAAATTGTGGAACAGTCCTTCCAAAGCATCAAAAAAATCCAACTAGAGAAATATCACAAATGTGAAAGTGAAGAGGACAAACAGAAAATAGAATTGAACCCCAGAGTTGTTTTTCATAAAGCAGTAGAAAATTGTAAACCAGTTATCCATTTGACTCCAATCAAAAGAGGAGGAGTTAGATATCAGGTTAGTCTTTGATTGTGCTATTATCTTTCCTGTCTTGTCAGAAATTTAGGTGTCTTCATTTGCTTTCAGGTCCCAGTGCCAATTACTGATAAAAAAGCTCAGTTCTTATCCATGAAATGGCTGATCACAGCAGCCAGAGAAAAAGAGAAAACTGTAAGATTTCATTTACAGTTAGCAAGAGAACTTATAGAAGCAGCAAATAATAGTGGAAGGGTTGTTAAAAGAAAACAAGAGCTGCATAGACAATGTGAAGCTAACAGAGCTTATGCTCACTATAGATGGAGTTAAAATAGCTAAGGTTCACTGTCCAGTAGATATATATTTTAGTTTCTTCTTTATTCTTAGCAGATCATGATTGAACCTATAATACTTTTTCCATTTTTTCTTTATCTACTATTATACCAAACTTCAAACTTAGTCTCAATGTTTCTTTTGTAGAGTATCTTCTTAAAGTAAAAAACAGCCCATCTAGTGGTGAAGCAGGTGACTCATTGATAGGAATAATATCACTTGTGGGTACAAAAATATCCTTCCTATTTCCCCAAAAATCCATGAATGATATTTTTGCCAATTTTTTTTCTTCATTATAATAAATGAAGCCTACAAACTTAGTTGTAAGTAGTCCTAAACTATATAGTGTTAAGCATCCTGATGTACCTACAAAATTGAAATTTCCTGAACTAATGAAAGATAAATAAATTAGGTGACAAATACCTAATGCACTCAAAAAATATAAAGAGTCAGTATCTATGAGGTCCATTTGATTCAGGACTATCCCACTTGGTATACTCATTACTGTGAGGAGAGTCTGATACATTTTCAGTCTGTTTATCATTGAAATGGGTCTGATGTATGAGAATTTATAGATGGGAACAAAATCATCTGATAGAGTTTTACTATTTTTCTGAGCATTCAGGTTAAGATGTCTACTGGTAACACCAACACCACATGGGCAGTATATCAGTTTCACAACTTTTGAGCTCCAGAGCCTATTCAAGCCAAACATATTACAGTAATTCATAAAATTACATAAAATCATTATAAATAAGAACTTCTTTAACCTAAAAAAAAATATAACGTGACAACTGACAAGGACAAGTAGTATGTGAATGACGTGTTGGTCTGTCAGCTGTCTTTTTCGTTAGAGATGCCGTTTTCTTTTTTAAATGAATCGATTACAAAATCGATCAGAAAAAGATTGGGGTAAAAATTAATCGATTCACCTCACAAACGCGGAAAAATTTGATAAAAATATATAGTTTTTCTTCAGATTTGATATCATTACAATATAACTTGAGGAATATTATCATTATTGCAACGAAAAAGTATAGAATTATATGGAACCTGATGATATTCAATATTAAATTTTCAAAAACAAAGAAACATAATTCACAAAATTTTTATATTTTCTCAGTCACAAGAATATAAGAAGTTCGAGATCGATCTTCGTGAAAAAATAATCAATTCAATGAATCTTATGCCAGAAAAATCGATTGAATTATCGAATTAATTGGGCGAAAAACATAGATCTCAGAAAAATCCGTATTTTCCGCATTCATTGTTTTGTTTTCTCAATTAATGAAGGATAGATAAACTTACATACACTCAGTCCAGTGGAAAAGGTAGCATTTGCACTTAATGTATATGTTTCTTGCTTACTCGTATGTGTTAAACAGAGGGAGATATACACAAAAAAGAAACACTACTAGTCAATGGAATTTGCTAAAAGTCGATTTCACTGTCACTGTCAAGTGTCACTGCAGATGAAAATGACACATTTGTGTTTTTGGACTTTTTGGGGCCCTTTCGTTGGATGTTGGATCGTTCACTGATCGTTGGTTTGGTTCTTTCTCCTTTTTTTAAAGGATTATTTTGATTCGATATTTATATATTTGTGTAAATTAATACGTGTTAATACGCAGTGAGCATTCATTTTTCCATATAATCTTACAGTTTGTGAATATAATCATCATAGTCTCTTGGACCACCTTGGCGGATACAAGAAATACACTTTCCTAACCAAAAAGCGCCCTAGTGAAATGGTTTTTTAGCATTGATTCATTTAGGTTCTACGGGGTAAGTGCTTTCTCAGTTAATTTGTATTCAGCAAATTCATGAAAGGGATCTTGGTATATCATGACATTTTGTGAAGGTCTCATGGAAGTCTTGAAGGCTTTCACTAAATTTGATGAGATGAAAGAATGCTGCACTTTGGTCGATTTAACTTGATTGTTGATCCATTATTCACATGTGAAATACTATTAACCAAGCTCTTAGTAGGTATTTAGTGTGTCTAGAGGTGGTTCACTATATATAAGCTAAATGCCATAATTGTCTGCTCTCGGGTCTACCTGTCCTGTCCCACAACAAGCATCTTACAATTTTCACAACCAAAAACTGCTCTTACAACACTCCTAACACCTTGAACACAGATTGGCAAACTGTTTTAACTGAATCATCAATGTATACAGGGCTATTCAAAATTTGATAATATTTTAAGGGATCATTGTTGGGATCAAAATAAGACTTTTTCTTCAGATGAACATATTATGTCTTGAATGGACCCACTCTGAAATACAGCCACTGTAAGTTGTAAGCGAGGTTGTAAGTGTTGAATTGAAGTATTATTTAGGAGATCAAACCGAGGGGGAAACAACTACCCAAATTGTGTACACCATATTTAAATATCTGGTACTTAAATTCAGTAAAAAAGTAATTAAAATACTTAAAATACTCAAAACTAGTACTTAAGGTACTCAAAGTAATAAACAGGTACTAAAAGTACTTAAAGTTTAATGAAGAGTATTTAAAAATATTTAAGAGTACTAAATGTACTAAAAAGTATTTAATGTACTTAAAAGTAATTAAATTAGGAATAGCACATACTAAAAATACTAAATGATAATAGATCTAATATTATTCAGTACCTATTTAAGTAATTGAAGGTATAATAATAGTGATAATTTCTGTTTTATGTAGATCGAGTTGGTTGAATGTTGATTTCTACAGTTTTTTGTGCTCTTGTCTCCTCCTTTTGAGTTATAGACGTTTCAGAAACGAATCTGCTCCCGTTTTCAAAGTTATCCCATGGACACTTTCCAGTGAGGAGAGACTAATGACAAAACACAGTGAAAATTTGCAATGAGAAGATGTTCTATTTTAATGTTGATAACAATAGCCGATTCATTCTTGAAACGTTCAAAGGAAAGGGAGGAAAGAAAATCCCAATAAATCTAGAGAAATTAGGATATTTTTATAATGCTGTCTGTGATTATTATGGACGGTTAAGGTGCTACTTACTACAATTAATAATTCCAATTTTTGGCTATCCTCTGTTTAATATCACATATTCGAACGAAAACAAAACAAAAAATCAGGTACTGAACCTATAAAACGGCTAATAAAATAAACACAAATCTCATCAGGAACTTAAAATATCACACAACATAGGAGGTAGGTACATGTAAATTTCAAAATAATGTCCTCTTAATTTCTTTATATTTCTTCTCAATAATTAATTTTGTAGTCCTATCAATATTAAAAGGATATGTGCCCTTCAGTTCAACAGGGCCATGAAAAACATACCGTTCCTCTACAGTTTGAATGTCTTCTGACTGTGGCCAAATATATTTGTCTAAGTCGTATTTGAGAAATTTAATTACCAACCCATTGTTGGTAATTTCTGAAATTCTTCCAATATACCAATTCTCTTTGTATGCAACGGAATAATATTTCTCGGGAAAAAACACGTCTCCTGTTTCTTCCGGACCCGCGGATTTATCGTTTTCCAAGTCGGAAAATGTTTCACTCTCGTCACTATCTGCATAGGAGGGTGATGACAGTGATACACTTCCAGTACTTGTTCCTGATGATCGCCTCTTTCTTTTTTTGGTAGCTGCGGCTTTTTTTGGTAAAACTCGAGACAAAACTTCGCTCGCACATTTAGGACCCCTGACTCGCTCTAGTCTGTCAGTACTCAGTCGAGGGTTTTTGTTGTCCAAGAGCCAACAAAGAGTGCCTTTCTTAACAGTAATTTCTTTCGTGTTATTATATATAGTCACATAACATCTTTCATTCTTCGAAGTGCGACTAGAGTAATCAACCAAATTGAGATTAACATCCTTCAATTCTTTCAGCAACACATCATCCTCAGGCGAGCCCTCGTGGTGATCATCAGAATACTCTGAAAGGATTATATAAGTGAGCGCTTTGTATGAACGAAAACTTATACAGGGTGGCCCAATTAAAAAAGTCCACCTAATATATGTAAATGGAACACAACTAGGCACCTGTAAAATCATAAAAAAACGCCACCAATTTAGTTTTTCGCAGTTGAATATTATTTCAAGTCTTTGTTTTCACCGATACTTCCAACATGTTTTTACGTTCATTTCGACACAGAACGAAAAAAATCAGCGTGTTTGTCATAGGATTGAGATACCCTCAGAAATACCTTTCAAAATTATGTGCCATTTTAGATTCTTGAGAGGTTGCAACCCCGTTCATGGGAATAATAACATATATATTCACGATCGGAAGAAGTCCCCCTTGGATGCAAAATCGACCTGTATCGGGGTACGGAAAAACCCTCGGAAAAAACTCCATTGAAAATATTTCAGATGAACTGTTTCAATTGGACCACCCCGTATGTATGTAGAAATCAATATAACTTGTCATGTGGGTATATTGCTGTTTACCTGAAAACGTATTTGTTTCTCTATTGGTGTCAGAATCCATGTTTAACATATTCTGATCATCTTCCATATCATTCAAAATATTCTGATCATCTTCCATATCATCCATCATTGTATCATTACCGAGATTATTTTTCCTTCCTGGTGTCTCATTCAAATTATGCGAAAGATTTTTTTCTTGTGCTGAAATTTTATATTAGTTAATCAAGTATGTAATCAGTTTAATTTACTGAAACATTACATTGTACATTAGGGATCGATATGTTCATCCATTCCTCATTCAAGGAAGGAATTCCAAGTAGTCCACAATATCCTATCGCTTTTTCTTTGGCATCTTCTATAATTATATTGATTTGATCATAGTCAATTGTACTATTTCTATATTCCATCATGTGGTTTTCTTGGACTGAACCCATCCTCCTGTTATGTTCACGAGGAAAAATTATTTCATCTTCTGAAATATTAGGCCATTCAGTATAAGATATGACAGACACTCAACCTAATCAGAGGATTGAACTTACTTAAGTCACACATGACGTCATTTAATATTTGTATTCTGTGCAAGCGATGTAGAATATCGAGCATACTGAAGTTCACAATTGTTGAAAACGTTGATGTCATGGAACGAGTAGCTCTAAATGTCTTTTCGCAGGGTTGCGAACTCATTAACCAAGGCATTAAGAGTTCTGGTCGCTTTAAATAATGACATCTCAATGTCATTAATACTAACGCATGGGCGTTTAGCTCCACACATATATACGCGTTCAATGTTATAAAATTCTTATCCAAACTGAAGCCATTTGATTTTATCCAGTGCCTCCATATCCTTAAAAAAAAAACAACAAACCATGCATTGGATATGCGAGTTTCAATATCAATTTGTTTTTCAAGAAATGCATCTAAAAACATAGCCATTATTTTGAGAAATGCAACAGTTCCTTGGCTATCAGCAACGTTATCTTGAAGTCCCCTTTGTACTTTTTCATCAATAATCCTTTCGACGGATTCAAAATTCATTTTGTCGTCGGAATTCAGATGGGATTTCGTTAAAAGATGTTTATCTTTGGTCACATTTTCTACTAAATGATGTAAGTGACTGACATTTGCAGTGTATTTCCCAATTCTCAAATCAGTACGTTGATTCAACAGTCGTGTCTTCAGTTTAGTACCTAAAAATAAAAATAAAACACATGCACAAGGAAATGTGCTGAAATACACTTGAACTAGATTGGGGGTTAACTTAATTAATTGATTTATTCCGTGATGGATGCTAATACTCATACCTAGGTATTCAATAAACTGATGAAATTATGTCGTGAACCTACATACCTATGTGTACTGTATCCTGTATGTAGCACGATTCAAAAATATCGGGATTTATTTGGAACCACGTATTGAAATCGTTGCTGATAGGTATAATGGTTTCATATCTCATCGCCTTTAATATGCGGCTATCTCCATCTCCAGAAAATCCTAATATTTGAATTCCATGTTCCCTTGCCATGTTTTTCATAGTTCTCCATCTATTCCTAATATCTGAATATTTGAATTTGTTATTCGTCCCAAATGCACAAATGCAAAATGGTGCTGCATTTGGAGCTAAAGGTTGAGCCATTACCACGTACGCATATTTGCACTTATCCTCCGTACTGAATATTTGATAAATTCGTTTAGCATTTGTAGCTTCATAATGACCAACGACCGGCAACCCAGTAGATGAGGTCAAAGGCAGCGGAAAACCAATGATACTGTCTGTTTTAGAATCATATTGAATACGCCCTAGAAAAATATTTATTTAGATCCCGTGGTAATGATATTCTTCACTACCATGGTATGATGTATATTAGATTTTTCCACCACTATAGCAATATATTTCAAACATTATAGTTCTCTTGAACCTATTGTCGCAACTATGAAAGCACTCCCTACAATTAATTAGTAGTCATAATCGGCAACATGATATATTATAGTCATAAACGTCATTCATTGTTCCAGGTTTTTTGGGATTTTCTCTCCTCGTTATTGATTAACAACTTTCGACTGCCATAGCTGCGAACTTCGCATCAGGACAGTGAATTCAGGTTGATAATAATAGGTGGCAATGGCTTCAAGAAGTACTAGGTAGTTCATAAAATGATAAAAACAACCCTGGTAAAGAATACACACTTCACGCCCAGGAGTAAATAATGCTAGTGGTGGAAAAAACAATAAACATTTACTCATCTGGCAGCAAATGCAAATTTTCTCAGAAATAATTGAAAAACAAATTTTGAAGGGGCGATTTGCTATATATTACTGAAAGAGAGGCTCGTGGGGCTAATTACTATACCTGTAATGGCAGTAGCATCCTCGCTGATCCATACATCCAATGGATAATTGTGTTTCAGAAGGTATTCTTTCAACTCAATAAACCGCAATTTTCCTTCACATAAGTTGTAGTCATTTTGAAGATTTTGTCTGATTGTGGAGAGCGATGGTAATGAAGCTTTGAAGTTGTTGTACAAAGTTTCATACAGGAGACAGCCACCAGTAAGGTATAAATAGGTGGAAAATAGTTTTATTTCTGCATCGAATCTCTTACCGGTTTTTTTTTGAGCATTTTTTTCGGCGACTTTCAGCAATAATTCGAGAGCTTTAGAGTTTGTTGTACAATAATTCCCAATGTTATTCGAGAAATCTTTATTCACTTCATCTGGAAGTTCTTCCATGAATTCATTCATTCTTGGAATCACCGAATAAAATGTGGTCAGTATGGATTGACCCTTACTGACCGAAGCATTATCTCTCTTTCTTTTTTGTCTCTCTTGCCGACTGAATTTTTTCATTCTCCATTTAGATGTCGAATCGACTGTTGATATTGATTGAGACACGTTCAAATTTGATGTGATGCAGAGAATGTCTGGTGTCTCATTTATGACATCTCTGCATCCTAAAAATTTGAATTTTCCGATTCCAAAGCCAGATCTTCCTGCTCTCCAGAAATGCTTGAATGGGTTTCAGTAATGCCAGAAATAGATGTTCCTGGAAAACATGACACATCTGCCTCGATATCTAAGGTAGGCTGCTGATGGGAAATTTGTTCATCGCCAGATGATTTTTCCATGTGCTGACTACATTTTTGTTTAATCAAAAATTTGTCCAAAGTTTGCGGAATAGTTTTTTCCTCGGTTTTTTCTTTTTTATTCGAAATATGATTTTTTATATGTTTATAAAAATTTGACAGTACCCAGTAGGTGCTTTTACCAACAACACTATTCGAAACTTTGATTTCTCCATTGCATATGAAACATGATATATATCCCGTTGCAATAGTGTTACTACTATTGCTACTTGATGCCAAGACTACTCTTGCATTGAAATCAATGTTCTGCCTATCAAAAGTTATATATTCTTTTTCTTCCAGACTGTGAATGTGTTTCATTAAAGCTTTATTCAGTTTCAGGCGCTCATCATTTATTTTAAACTCTTCTACCAGTTTGTCGTTATCGCCGAGGTCGCTATTTTTACATTCGGATTTTTCTAATGCGGACTTACTACCTCGTTCATCACTGAACGATGCTTTATGTTTTGATCTTCTTTTTTCTGGAGAAGCAGATTTATTCGATGAGCTTTCAGTGGTCACTGATTGAGTTGTTGTTGCCTGATTTTTTAATTCAGTATCAAAAAGTTCTCCCAGTTTCAGTAGTGTTTTTCTGTAGCCACGGGGAATCATAAAATTCTCACAAGAATTGAAAAATATGCCATAATATTTTTTTCTAGTCTGAACATCATCTATATCTATGATTTTTGGTAGAGTTTCCCTAGCAAATATTTCTATTTCATGTATATCACTTTTCGAAATGTTCGCTAATGCCACTTTATTATCATATCCATTCATAATCAGGAGACTAGTCATAAACTCTGGCAATTGAATCCCAAACTCCTTCTGAATGTGACGCCACATTCCTTGAGACATTTCTAAAAAGGCAGAGAAAGTTTTGATTGATGCTTTGTTTTTGTTTCTCGAATTTTTATTTCTAACTGTGCATATTTATGAATTTCAATGCCTAAAACTTGTGTTTCTCGACCTCAACAACCCAGAATACAGTTTTTGGTAAATTGAAAGATAATTGGCCAACTCTTTCGCCATATTGATTCGCCAAATTATGTGTACCCATGAATTCGTGTGTCTTGACCCCAGAAACCCCCTGTGATAATAGATATTAGGTGAATCGCTCAGGAATTGACAAACTCGCCTGACACCGCGAATCATAAATCAAAAAGTCGACTGCCATCTTGAATCTGCGATCTTGAATTGTCGAATTTTTACAAAAAAAATCATGATGTCCAACCCCTAAAATCCCCATATACCACCTTTGAATCGAATCGGAACATAAATAACATAAGTTGTCCGCCATCTTAGATCCGCCATCTTGAATTCAATTTTGTCAAAAACAGCAAAAACTTCCAACCCGAAAAATCCTCACATACCAAATTTGAATAGAATCTGACCATAATCACAAAAATCGATCGTCCCCCATAATAGAGTCGACACCTTGGAATTATTATGAATTTTGACAAAAAAGTACAATTTTCGAGATAATCTACAACCCCAAAAACCTCCTGTATCAAATTTGAAACGAACCGGACTATAAACTCGAAACTCGTCCGCCACGAGTCCGCCATCTTGTATTTATAAATTTCGAAAGAAGAATCATAATCTCCGACCCAAAAAACCCCCGTATACCGATTTTGAATAGAATCGGATCATAAAACAAAACTGGTCCGCCATATTGGAGCCGCCATCTTGATTTTTTCATTTGTGATGAAAGAATCATAATCTTCGATCCTGAAACCCCTCGTATACCAATTTTGAATAGAATCAAATCATAATTACAAATTTCGTCTGCCATATTGGGGCCGCCATCTTGAATTTTTAAATTTTGACGAAAGAACCATGATTTCCGACCCTGAAAACCCCCATATACCAATTTTGAATAGAATCGGATCATAATTACAAAACTCGTCCGCCATATTGGGGCCGCCATCTTGAATTTTTCATTTTTGACAAAAGGATCATTACTTTCTTCCCCGAAATCCCCCAGATAGCAATTTTGAATAGAATCGGATCATAATTACAAAACTTGTCCGCCATCTTGAAGCCGCCATTGTTTTTTTTTTCTAAAACAAAAATTTTATAATGCATTGTCACCGGAATCATGAACACCTGCAAAATTTCAAATCAATCAGACGATTAGAAGTGGTCTAAAAGTTGGTTACAAGATCTGACCGTGACATTTTTCTTAGTTTTCTTCAACTCAATGAGTTAATAAGCATGGTAAAAAAAACGTGTGTCAAATTGTGGGTAAGGAATTTGAAATTGATCTGATGTTGCACCTACATAACATAACTGTAAAACTGTATCACTTACCTTCAGTATCTCCTAACTCCATCATTTTAATTTGAACTCTTTCTATTATGAAAACAAATATTTTGTATTGCGAAAATAACGCGAACGCGTGCTCACTGATAAATGTCCAGCGACGGAATGCGGGAATGAAACCAAATTGTTTATTGTTCATCGGTGCATGGGTCGTTAAGGGCGCCAATGCAGTCGGGAAGTTTCGGGTCGAGTATTATCTCCGGTAATTAAATATTAAATTTTCAGTACTCATGTACTAAACAGATACTTAAAGTACTGAACTCGGTACTAAAGAAACTTAAAGAATAAATTTTGGTACTTAAAATACTTAAACTGGTACTAAAAATACTTAAATGTACTTAAAGGTAATTAAAATACTGAAGATGTATTTAAATTAATTATTTTAGTACTGAAGTACTTAAAAGCGTATTAAATTGTACTTAATGTATTAAAAATTATACTTAAATACTTAAAATTCCATGGTGTACACCACTTAAAAGAGTTGTTTCCCCCTCGGATCAAACCTTCTGAGAATTGCCCTGCCCCTGTCTTTTTAGACACTTTATTTCCTTCTTGCTCCAAAAATGATGTAAACCTAGTTTTGGGGAGTTTGAGGGAGGTCCACTCTTTTATTGGCACAAATTTTGTTTTAAAAGATAAATTTTGAATTTGAATATCATGATCTTGTGGGCAATAAAAAAATGTAAGAATTCGGTCTCTTGCATTTTTTTCATACAACTAATGGTTTGCCAGAAAATCTATAAAAGTCTCAATAAAAGTGATATACCTACTTGGCTTTGTTAACATTGAGTGCAAGCAGGGCTTCATTTCTCCCACTCAAAAAGGATTTTATTGTTTTTTTTGCAATTGTATGTCTTTTGAGCAGTATATGGTGCACTACAGAGTCTAAATGCTTTAACTAAATCACTTTTTTTCCTTCATCCAGACTTTTCAGGATTACCTTTATCATTCTGCACAACATACTCTCTGGATTGAGTTAGTTATTGCTGTAACATTTATTTTAAATGTTTCTGTTGAACAGACTTATACGAAGGCGCTGAAGGGCCACCTATACTACTATTTTTTGAATCCCGACTTCAAAGTCGGGGGTCCGAGATTAAAGTCGGGGGTCCGAGATTAAAGTCGGGGGTCCGAGATTAAAGTCGGGGGTCCGAGATTAAAGTCGGGGGTCCGAGATTAAAGTCGGGGGTCCGAGATTAAAGTCGGGGGTCCGAGATTAAAGTCGGGGGTCCGAGATTAAAGTCGGGAGTCCGAAACTGAAGTTAGGAGATAGATTATATTCGTTAAATATGTGGACAGAAATAAATAATTTCCATTGTTACTCATCAGTTTGACGTCAGCAACATGCTCCTGAATTTTCTACATGTACTCGAGAAACACCCTGTACATTTATGTACAAACAATAATTTTACATCCATTGGATAATCATCACATAAGGATCAGTCAAACTCCTTCTTTTTGGATGTACACTGAATGTCAAATAATGGATCACACCTGTACGATCATTATCGTATGTATAGGGTGATTGTTTATATTCCACTTAATAGCTAAGAATCTCATTTGTTTGTTCAAAGGGTGCAAAAAGATTACAATACAAAACATATATTTTCACAAATGAACTACCCTGAATGTCATTCCGTCCTTGGGTAGAGCTCAGAAAGATGAGTTCAATGATATATGATTACATTATTTGTAGGTATGAGTTAACCCTTCCGGACTATTTTCATAATCTTCTTCAATAAATAGCCAAATTTCAAAGCCTTATGAAAACGTTGAGAATCAAGTTTTCAATGCGCAGTTTCCATTATGAATTAACTAATTATATATGTTATATTTGATATTTTGTCAATATTAAGGATATTCGAATTAAACAAAAGTGATGACGTATTTTGCAAACCGATCATTTTCTCGGAATTTTCGAATGTATTTAATTTCATTCTTGGATAGAGCTAAGAAAGACGAATTCAATGATATATGATAGAATGGGTCTGAGAACACCCGTTTCGGACTTATCCATGAAGTCCGAGATTAAAGTCGGACCCCCGACTTTAATCTCGGACCCCCGACTTTGATCTCGGACCCCCGACTTTGATCTCGGACCCCCGACTTTGAAATCGGACCCCCGACTTTGAAGTCGGGATTCAAAAAATAGTAGTATAGGTGGCCCTTCAGCGCCTTCGAAATATTCTTTCCGCCGGGATTGAAGTAGCCGGTATGCTTAAGAGATCTCGTGCCATCAAACTTAGAATGGAAAATTCAGAAGCATGAATTTTCCACCATTGCAATATATCTGTGTTTTTATAACACCGAGGCACAGAATAATATTTTTGAAGCTCCTGCATCCATACTCCCGTTAAAACAAAATTATTCTTTAACTTAGACTATTTATGACAGAATGACTTATTTATAGATTTTCAGGTAGTAATTCAATTTGCGATCTGTCGTTATTGCAGAATTATTGCCTTCATTTTCCGCCGCCATAAGAGTTCATGGATTGTGTTTATGTATGAAATGTTTTGTCTATCTGTGCTATATAGTCTGAATTCTTTCTAAATATGTTGTATTATGAATGAAATTCTCAAGTCTGCAGTCGGCACGCAGAAATATTTACCTACGAGACTCTCGCACGAGACACGAGAAGTCTTGCACGAGACTCGAGACGAGACCAATAAAAGTCTCGTCTCGTCTTGTCCGAGTCTCGTCTCGTCTTGTCCGAGTCTCGTCTCGAGTCATGTCTCGAAATCGCGACGAGACCATGCGAGACTCTCGAAAACGAGACTCTCGCGGGCACCACTACAACAGAGATGAAATGCCAAACTTTTTTCCCGTCACAGAAAAAAATATTTTTGTCAATGTTTAGTGGTTTCCTGAGACCTATTGAATGAGATATGTAGCATACATACACTTGTGGTTGTGTTGTCACATATTTTAATTTGTTCTGTGTATTTAAAGTACTGTTTATTTTTCTGCCTGCACCTTTATTTTATCATCATAATTGTTCTGTTTTTGATAGCGAGTAATTTTTGTTTTGTTTTCTATTCCTCCTGCAGAAACAGAAGTCTCAAGGGAAAAGAAAAAATGGCCAGCACAAGTCCTTTGAAGAAGGCACATTTACCAGTATCCAGAATAAATACAATTATGAAAAGTTCATCAGACGTTGATACAGTAGATAAAGAATCGTCTATGTTGATGTGCAAGGCGACAGAGCTTTTCATCAGAACACTAGCTCTGGAAGCCTACAGAGATGCGAACAATGCAAAAAAATTGGACTATAAGCATCTTGCTGAAGTTGTTCATACAGAGGAAAGGTATAACTTCCTCAGGGATATTATGCCAAAAAAAATTACTGTCGCCGAATATAAAAGGTTAATGGCAAAGAAACAAGGCATAAATGATGATAGTGAAGGGAAGAATGAGGCTTCTTCATCCAGTTCATCTGATGATGAAGAGGATTCTAGTTCAGATGATAGTGAACAAAGTAGTGCAAGTGCTTGATATAGTGCTTAATTTATTGTGTCTGTCTTATTATTTTATAATTTTTATACTTTAAATAAACTTTTTCATAGCACCAAGATAATGTCACTCATTATAATTTTTTTGTATTTTCACTATGTCAATGAGAAGAATTTAGTCTTCTTAGAATTGCAGATGACCACACAGCCACAAGTAGTACCTAATACCATGTTAAAGACCCCGCACAAAACTATAGGGAATTGGCCCACAGTGGGATTTGCCTGAACTTTACATATGTTATTGGTATGGAGTTTCTGATCAAATGTCTTCATGTGACCAATCCTCTAAGACCAAAGATTTTGCTCTCAGGGCCGTATTTAGTATAGGTGCCAAATAAACAATGACACTTTTTTTTCAAGCCCATTATTTTTGTATCTCCCATAATAATTCAATTGAATGAGAAATGTTGCGAAATCTTGGCATTTGTCTTTTAGCACAAGTCCTCTGTAAAACATGCCTTGTCCTACAGGACCGTATTTAGTAAAACTGTATTTGCCAAAGTTCCGAATCGAATGGATTTTGTTATTACTTTCTTATTTCTTGTCCTATTTCAGTGGTCGTTTGATAGATGAATGTAGATTTCTTTGTGTACATAACAAAAGTGGTCACCATCTTAATATTCAAGATGGTCGGCCTAACATTTAATCTTTATGTAGGACATATCTCGTAGCTTTTTAGGAATCATAGTAACAGGAAAAGATAAGAACACGTTTCGATTGTTGAAATCGGTCATTTACTTTTTCAATTACCTAACTCTATAATATAAATATAACTCTACTATCTGATTGAAACTTCATTTAATTCATTACTAACAAAGTTGAAACCGATATTTACAGGGTGGTGAACAAAAAAGTCGAGCACTCACTATCAACATAATTCCCGAACACTTACAGCTGCTGGAGTATTGCATCTTGCACTGGACGATTTGCGGCATCTTTAATATGCTGTAACACAGAAGTCGATGAATAATTCACATTTTGATTATGGCGGGCGAATCCTAAATATCACAATATGCTACAAATATGAGCACATGTTCCTAGTGTCCTTGCCCCTGATTTGCAACTGCAGTAGTATCCTATTATCAATACATCTTCTTCATTATTCTCGTCAGGCTGGTTTTCATGCGGAGTGTATTGAATAAATACTTGATATTTTTCTCTCCTCCTGAATCGAGAACACACTCTAAGTCTAATGAATCCAGGTTCATTCACTCTGAGATCAATTTCAAACGACTCATGATCATCTCTAAGTATTCTGCCTTGGACATAGGACGCTGATAATTTGATTTGATATGTTCCAAAAGTCACGTTTCTCAAGTTCTCCATAGATAGGTGTGGAAATCGAGGAACATGCTCATTATTAAGCTGAGTGAATCAATCAATCAATCAATCAACTTTATTATTCCCAACCTGGATTCATTAGACTTAAGAGTGTATTCTCGATTCAGGAAGAGAGAAAAATATCAAGTTTTCATTCAATCCACTCCGCATGAAAACCAGACGAGAATAATGAAGATGTATTGATAAAAGGGTACTACTGCAGTTGCAAATCAGGGGCAAGGCCACTAGGAACATGTACTCATATTTGTAGCATATATTGTGGTATTTAGAATTTGCCCGCCATAATCAAAATGTGAATCATCCATCAACTTCTGTACAGCATATTGAAGATGCCGCAAATCGTCCAGTGCAAGATGCAATACTCCAGCAGCTGTAAGTGTTCGGGAATATTGTTGATAGTGAGTGCTCGACTTTTTTGTTCACCACCCTGTAAATATCGGTTTCAACTTCGTAAGTAATGAATTAGATGAAGTTTCAATCAGATAGTAGAGTTATATTTATATTATAGTTAGGTAATTGAAAAAGTAAATGACCGATTTCAACAATCGAAACGTGTTCTTATCTCTTCCTGTTACTATGATTCCTAAAAAGCTACGAGATATGTCCTACATAAAGATTAAATGTTAGGCCGATCATCTTATTGAATATTAAGATAGTGACCACTTCTGTTATGTGCACAAAGAAATCTACATTCATCTATCAAACAACCACTGAAATAGGACAAGAAATAAGAAAGTAATAACAAAATCAATTCGATTCGGCACTTTGACAAATACAGTTTTACTAAATATGGTCCTGTAGGACAAGGCATGTTTTACAGAGGACTTGTGCTAGAAGACAACTGCCAAGATTTCGCAACATTTCTCATTCAATTGAATTATAATGGAAGATACAAAAGTCATGGGCTTGAAAAAAAAGTGTCATTGTTTATTTGGCACCTATACTAAATACGGCCCTGAGAGCTAAATCTTTGGTCTTAGAGGATTGGTCACATGAAGACATTTGATCAGAAACTCCATACCAATAACATAGGTGAATTTCAGGCAAATCCCACTGTGGGCCAATTCCCTTTGGTTTTGTGCGGGGTCCTTTCATTCATGTACTATTTTTCAATAATATACAGACTTCGGAGTGAAATAAATAACAGGGTGTCCTATAACTTATCTTCATATACATAGAACAACATGTGATACTAGTTAGATACTAAATTATAATTATAACCGAAAATATAATTTCTCACCTTCGAATGTACAATAAGTACATCTAATTTGAAATTGATACCTTCAATCGTTTGGAAATTATTCTAATATTTCGAAAATTTAATTTAATTTTCGTACCAGCACCTTTTTAATGATAATGATTAACATTCAACTACACATTTTGATTTAATCCTCCACTTAAATCTACTAGTTTGATCTTCAGTATAGTAGTTTCAATAATTCAACTCGCAAGTTTGTTTTTCTTTATCTGTTCTGATGATGATGATAACTTATTATCACGTGGTAAATCAGGTGGGAAGTACAGTGTACCCGAGACGGGAATTCCTCGGGGAGTCCGGGTAATCTTTGGGAATTCCAGGAATTCCTTGGGAAGTCCGGGAATTCATTGGGTAGTCCGGGTATTTTTTGGGAAGTCTGTATAATTACGATTTTTCGAAGCTTGTGTTTTATCGAATTTCAAAATGGAAAACTACTCGCGGTGTTGGATTTATTTGAACTTATTCACTATCACATGCACTATATATCTTCTAAGATAAAATCGATTCAATATTTTTTAATCTTCTGGAGCGCACGAAAGGAAATCCCAATTATATTTCTATCACCCCACTTCTTTTGATTCATGACTTATGGGACACCCTGTATAATAAGATTTTTTACTGAAACAGGTGGAAACAGGCCCATTTTAAACTCGTCAGTGACTACACCACATCCTTATAAACATCTTGATAACAATGAAGATGTATCAGTACATGGTGAAAGGACTACATAACTCCATCAGTAACAAAAATTATAATTTTGAAACGTGGTTTGAAAAAAATTAATAGTATATTATGTCGTAACAAGTGGCACGAGCGCAGCAGAGCGGAGCAAGTGTTTCATAAACGAGTGTCTAGAGGAGTTTGTAAACGCGTTACATACTATTCTGTTTTACGAACTCTTAATTCCTCTCTCACAAGATCCCATAATTCCGAAAATTAGATTAACCTACCTGCTATAACCTACAAAATAATACGAAGGGAATGGGAATTGAGAACATAATACATGATACTATGCAACTGCATGCAACCAACAACGAGACAGGTATAAGTGATATTGGTTGAAGATGTGTCCAGTCCATAGGATATATAAATCATGAATTTCTATCAAAATGGCTTGCTTACTAACCTTTGTGAATAAGAAGTTTTTATGTGACGTAGATGAAAAAAAAAGCCTCTTTGATTGCATAATTTTTGCTCACATAAATATTGTTTTACGTTTATTGTCATGCTTCATTTTTTCACAGTGTTCTTGGAAATATGCACGTATCTAAAACATTCTCTTCGATTTCACTTTCGTCTACATTTCGCATTTATTTTAAATGAAGTATTCTGATACAAACAGAAAATATTAGAATAATTCTGATTTGTAATAAAATTCATTTTATACCAGCATCATACTACTCCATTATTTTCAAATCGAAATATTCCGAAAACGGAACATAGTATCGAGTTTCACCAAGAGTTCCTTTTTGGTGTAAAATTGGATGAGATTCGAGTCCATATCATATCTGGAATGAAAAATCTAACCTTCAAAAAGTTATGTTCAAAACTACTCGGTACGAACCGTTTAACTAGCGCCCTCTATGAGAGTCAGATATAAAAACAAATGCATGCGATGTGTCAGATTTCAAGAAACATCCATACAAAATTTCATCACAATGTTGCCAGTAGTTTCGACATAATCTTGAAAAATGTGTAAAAAAATCATTTTTTCAACACCTTGTATCTAGATAACGGATGCCGTTACGAAATATTTTTACTGAGTGAACCCAACTTATTTTGCAGTGTTCTATCTACCCAAGTGAGGGGGTCAGGTTTTTTTGAAACACCCTGTATACTGGCAATATGTATAATTATATTTATGAAAAAGTCGATGATGGGTAGATAAGTATATCGTTCCTGGAAATTTGTCTGCCGAACAGTTAATGATAAATAAACGGAAAAAAGGCTACAAAAATTATCAGAGATCCTGCTGGGATAAGAAATTCACAAATGTTAAAGTTCATTCACTTGACGTTTTTTTTTTGTTGGACAAACAGCAATGGACTAATCGTTCGATTTCATATAGTTTATAATTTATTCTATGATACTTTTAATCTCGAAATAAACATTCTCTTTTATCAAGAGATTTGGAATATCTATCGCACGACACTGTGTCTGTTGATAATAATAATTGATGTTACAAAAGATTCCTCTCAAAGGTTTCTTAGCATTCAAACTGTTCTTACAGCGTATCTGTATAGTATTGTTAATTCGGGTTTTTGAATGAAAGCTGAACAAATTTGCAAGTGCCAATAATCTTTTGGTTTGTTTGTTGTTGATGATGATGGCTTCACAAAAGTATAGTGCGGAATGTTTCTGGATTAGTTGTATTTGAATTATTTTTACGGATTCCTGTAGCAAATAGCAAATGAAGGTAAATTCTTTAGATCTGATGCATTTGTAGAATTTATAAACAATTGGCAATAAACATACCTATATGTCTAAATGGTACCTACCTACCTATATTCTCTTTTCATTGGTGTCTGTAACTTATTGTAGGATCATAAAAATATCCCACAGTTTTGACGGCGAT